CCGCGGGGCTGTACCCCACTTGTCCCGCGACCCCCTACCCCCCCCCCCCCCGCAAAGTCCCACAGCCTGGGAAGCGGCAGCCACCCTCAGAAAAAAAAAAAAACAAAACACAAATATTTATTTAACAAAAAAGCACGGGAGGCGCAGCAGTAAATAGCGGCGGGGGGGCTCTAGGAGACCAGGACGCCGGCGGAGCCGCCCTTGGCCCCCGCCCCCTCGGGCCCCTCCTTGGGGGGCTGCTTGGGGTCGTCCTCCCCCACCAAGCGAATGTTGTGCTTCTCCCGAAACTCGTTCAGCTCTCGGCCCTTCGCCTGCAGCTGCTGGTTCAGCGTCTCGATGATTTTGCTGAGCTGGGGGGGGGGGGGGGGGGGATGTGGAAAACAGACCTAAACCCCCGGAGCAGGGAGGGGGGGGCGGGGGGGTCCCTCACCTGCTCCCTGTTGCTCTCCAGCGCCGGCAGCACCTCCTTCACGGTTCGCTCCACCAAGATGCCGCCCACCATGCGGTAACATTTCCGCGTGGGATCCACCTCCCGCAGCGTCTCGATCACCAGGCTGGGGGGGCAGAGGAGGGTGAGCGCCGAGGGGCCCCCCCGGCCCCCCCCCCCACCGCCCCCCCCCACCTGTGCTCGTTCAGCTCCAGCTCCAGCTCGGCCGCCTTCGAGGCCAGGCCCCGCTGCTCCTGCCGCAGCCGGTTGAACCGGGACACGACCTGCGGGGACACGCGCGGTGACGGGGCTGCGACCCCCTCCCCCGGTGCCCGCCCCCCCCCCCCCCCCCCCCGCACCTGCTCCGCCGTCAGCGCTTTCCCCCCGGGCGCGGCCGCCGCCCGACCCTTCGCGCTGTCCGCCATCTTCGCCCCCCCCCCCCCCCCACCTCCTGCCCCTTCCCCACGCCGCGGGACACGCCCCTTCCGCCGCGGACCGGAAGCGCGGGCGGGGCCCGGGCGGGCTGTTCTGGGTCGATGGCAGCGGCGCCATCTTTGTTGCGGGCGCGACTGGGGGGGGGACTTTGCCCGCTCCCCCTCCGGGCATGTACGGGCCGGGGGGGTGGGATTTGGGGCACATCGGGCCGTGAAGGGTGGGGATAATAGGGCCTGGGGGCAGGTGGGCGGGCTGCCGGGGGGCCGGGCTCGGGCGCTTGGGGGTGCCTGGGGCAGTTTGGGGGGTGCTGGGGCAGTTTGGGGGTCCTGGGACAGAGCTGGGGCAGTTTGGGGGGTGCTGGGGCAGTTTGGGGGTCCTGGGACAGAGCTGGGGCAGTTTGGGGGGTGCTGGGACAGAGCTGGGGCAGTTTGGGGGGTGCTGGGGCAGTTTGGGGGGTGCTGGGACAGAGCTGGGGCAGTTTGGGGGGTGCTGGGGCAGTTTGGGGGCCCTGGGACAGAGCTGGGGCAGTTTGGGGGGCCCTGGGGCAGTTTGGGGGTCCTGGGACAGAGCTGGGGCAGTTTGGGGGGTGCTGGGGCAGTTTGGGGGCCTTGGAACAGAGCTGGGGCAGTTTGGGGGGTGCTGGGACAGTTTGGGGGGTGCTGGGACAGAGCTGGGGCAGTTTGGGGGGTGCTGGGGCAGTTTGGGGGGTGCTGGGACAGAGCTGGGGCAGTTTGGGGGGCCCTGGGGCAGTTTGGGGGTCCTGGGACAGAGCTGGGGCAGTTTGGGGGGTGCTGGGGCAGTTTGGGGGCCCTGGGACAGAGCTGGGGCAGTTTGGGGGGTGCTGGGGCAGTTTGGGGGTCCTGGGACAGAGCTGGGGCAGTTTGGGGGGCCCTGGGGCAGTTTGGGGGTCCTGGGACAGAGCTGGGGCAGTTTGGGGGGCCCTGGGGCAGTTTGGGGGTCCTGGGACAGAGCTGGGGCAGTTTGGGGGGTGCTGGGGCAGTTTGGGGGGTGCTGGGACAGAGCTGGGGCAGTTTGGGGGGTGCTGGGGCAGTTTGGGGGGTGCTGGGACAGAGCTGGGGGGTGCTGGGACAGAGCTGGGGCAGTTTGGGGGGTGCTGGGGCAGTTTGGGGGGTGCTGGGACAGAGCTGGGGCAGTTTGGGGGGTGCTGGGACAGTTTGGGGGCCCTGGGACAGAGCTGGGGCAGTTTGGGGGGTGCTGGGACAGTTTGGGGGCCCTGGGACAGAGCTGGGGCAGTTTGGGGGCCCTGGGACAGAGCTGGGGCAGTTTGGGGGGTATGGGGTCAGTTTGGGGGAGTGTTGGGTCTGTTTGGGGGCCCTGGGGCGGTTTGTGGGGTGCTGGGGGGGGGGCTGGTGCCATCCCCTTGGCTGTCGGGGCTGTGTAACCCCCCCCGGCACAGGGTCTGGCAGCAGCCGTGACACCCCCTTCCCCCCCCCCCCCCCAGGCTGAGCGCGGTGCCCCGGGCCCTGCTGCGCTGCCGCCCGCTCCCCGCGCCCGCCCGCACCCCGAGACGCCGGCACAGCGCCGGTGCCGCGGGCCCCCCCCGACGCTGGTGCCCCCCACCTGCCCCGCACCCCATGGCGGGTCCCGGGGGGCTGAAGCCGCTGGTGGCCGTGGGCCAGGTCACCTCCACGCCCGACAAGGAGCTGAACTTCGCCACCTGCGCCGGGCTGGTGCGGGAGGCGGCGCAGCGCGGCGCCTGCCTCGTCTTCCTCCCCGAGGGCTTCGACTACATCGGCTCCGACCCGGCGCAGACCCTCCGCCTGTCCGAGGGGCTGGACGGGGACCTCATGGGACGCTACACCGAGCTGGCCAGGTACCAGTGGTGACCCCCACCCGCCCCCCAGCACCCCCGGCGGGACGGAGCCGGAGCCGGGGTGACCCAGGGTCCCCCGTCCCCAGGGAGTGCGGCGTGTGGCTGTCCCTGGGCGGCTTCCACGAGCGCGGCCAGGACTGGCCGACCACGCAGCGCATCTACAACTGCCACGTGCTGCTGGACCCCTCAGGTGAGAGCCCCCAGCCCCGACCGGGGGAGTCCCCCCGGCCCCATGGACGCCCCCCCCCCATCCCACACCCTCTCGTCCCCAGGTAAACTGGTGGCCGCCTACAGAAAGACCCACCTGTGTGACGTGGAGCTGCCAGGACGCGCTGTCATGAAGGAGAGCAGCTTCACCAACCCCGGCGCCGAGATCGTGCCCCCCATCAGCACGCCGGCGGGGAAGGTACGGGACGGATGGGGACCTCCAGGGTCCCCCAACCTCTGCCCCCCGGCGCCCTGTCCTCGCTGACGTCCCCTCCTCGTCCCCGCCAGCTCGGCCTCTCCATCTGCTACGACCTGCGCTTCCCCGAGATCTCGCTGGCGCTGCGGCGTGCCGGCGCCGAGATCCTCACCTACCCCTCGGCCTTCACCGTCCCCACGGGCTCGGCGCACTGGGAGGTGAGCTCAGCACCCCCCAGCACCTCCAGCCTCTGCCCCTCGCCCCCACGGGGCTGGGGACGTGCCGGGGAGGGCTGAGCCCTCACCCCAATCCAGCAGGGAGCGAGCGGGGATAAATCCTCCAGCCACGGGGGGAAAATTTAAGACACAAAGCCTCTTTTTCTGGGTATTTCCGCGCTGTGGTGCCCCCCCCCACCCCCCCGTCCCCCCGCAGGTGCTGCTGCGGGCCCGGGCCATCGAGAGCCAGTGCTACGTGGCGGCGGCTGCCCAAACCGGGATGAACCACGAGCGCCGGACGTCCTACGGCCACGCGCTGGTGGTGGACCCCTGGGGCGCCGTGGTGGCCCAGTGCCGCGAGGGAACGGGGCTCTGCTACGCCGAGATCGACCTCGAGTACCTGCGCCGCGTCCGCCGGGAGGTCCCGGTGCACGGCCACCGCCGGCCCGACCTCTACGGCACCGTGGGGCTGGCGCCGGCGCCCTGAGCCCCTCCCCGCTGCCGTGAAAGCCAGAGCGGGGCCAAATCTGCTCTGTTTCAGACCGTTTCTCGCCAAAACGCGGCAGCAGGATGGGCTCAGGGCTCCCTGTGCCACAGCCAGGTGTGTCCCCCCCACCTTTTTTCCCCCCAGGGTGCCCCCCTCCCACTGCTGGGGGGGTCGGGGTGCCCCCCAGCCCAGGCAGGGTCGGAAGGAAGGAGCCAGGCGCTGCGGTAGATGTTTATTTCAAGAAACCCGAAAGCTACACAGGGAATATGACCATTATATTGAAGTTTAAAAAATACAGAAGTCACAGAAATTACACCAAGTTGTGCCAGAATCGTCCGTAAGCAGGGGGGGGTGGGGGGTGGGCCGCGTGCCCCCGGGGGGCGGGGGGCCCCACACGCACCACAAGTCCCAGGGGGCTGCCCCCCACCCGGGAGGCAGCCAAGCAGGGACAGGGAAAGAAAAACCACAAAACCAGGATGAAGCTGGAAAAAAACCCCACCCCCACCCCAGGGACCCGTAGGCAGCAGGTTGGGGGGGGGACGGGACACAGACGGCCATTTGGGGGGCTCTGCGGGGACAGGGAGCCAGGGCGTGGGCTGGGTGGCCCCGGGCGAGGAGCGCGGGCTGGCGGCCCCCCCCCAGGGCGAGCAGGCAGAGGCTGGGCTGCCTGCTGCCAGCAACAGGCACAGCCCCGCGCCCCGACCTGCCCCGGGGCCCCGCTCAGCCCAGGCGCCAGCTGCAGAGGGGGGGGACAGGGACAGGGACAGAGCCAGGCAGCCCTGGAGGGGACAGGCAAGAGATTTCGGAGCGTCCCTCGGCGCTGGTCCTCCCCCCCGGCCCCCGCAGGGGAGGGGGACACGAAGGCACATGGTCCAGGGGACACCGCAGGGACGGTTTTACTCCTGAGAAACCCACTGAGGCGATGGGGGGGGGGGGGGGGTGTGGGGGGGGTGTGTGTGTGGGGGGTGTGTCATTGGAGGGAGAACCCAGGGGCTGGGGGGTGGGAATGCTGCCCCCAGGGCTTCCCCTGGCACACGGAGCCCCCCCCGGACGGTGACACAAGGGGAGGAGGGGGACAAAGCCACCCCCAAAGCTGGCGTGGGCACCATGGGGCTGAGCCCACCACGGTACAAACCTCTGCCGAGCCCCCCCAGCACGCCCAGCCCCAGCACTGATGCGCCCCAGGCAGGGTTTTTGCCTTTTTTTTTTTTGTTGTTTTGTTTTTAATGGATACAAAATAAAGAGAAAAAAGGAAAACAAAGCGAGAGAGGAGGTGACAGGACAGGAAAGGGGCGAGGACACACGTAAGCCTCCGGCGCTCCCCGTGGCTCCAGCCCGGCTCCGAACCCAGAGTCGCACAGTACCGGGTGGGGGTTTCAATCATCTTTTCCTTTTCTTTTAGAAAAAAAAAAAAAAAAAAAAAGGAAAAAAAAAAAAAAAAAAAAGGAGAAGGAAAAAGCTTGGATCCCACCGAGCAGCCGTCAGGGAGCCGTCTGCAGCATCAAGTTCCTCAGGAGTTTCTGGCGCCCGACCTCGTAATCCTCCTCGTCCACATTGACCAGCAGTTTGATGGCTTCGTGGCCCACGGCTTGTTTGAGCGAGTCCGTGATGAAGACGCCCTTGAGGGCTTCCAGCAAGGAGCCGTTGATGTAATCGCGCCAGAACGCGTCGAGGTAGGTGAGCTCTGAGAATTTTATGTCACAGATGATGGAGCCCAGGTCCCGGGACTTCAGGATGGTGTTGGCCTGGTTGAAGCGCTCGAACTGGCGCTCCAAGGGGTCCTGCTTGTTGGAGAAGACGTTGCCCTGAAGCGCCGTCTCGTGCTGGCAGTACTCGGCTCGGACTCGCAGGCGGATGTCTGAGGGAAGCGGGGAGAGCCATGAGTGCTCCGGCGTGGGGCCGGGAACCCCCAAATCCCCCCCGAGCCCTCCCGGAGGCTCTTACCACAGGTCTGCTTCTCCTTAGGGTCCGGCGTCGCCGACTTCCTCCTCTTGCGCTGGCTGCTGAGGAGGGTCCTGCCGCGGCCGGGCCTCTTGGTACAGATCTGGGGTCCCGCGGGGGAGCAGCAGACCACGGGGTGGTGGGGAGGCACTGTGTGGGGAGAGGACGGGGGTCAGGGGACACCGAGACCCCCCCCAAGCTCGGGGGGCCTCTCGCCCTTGCTGGTCACACTCCAAATGTGTGTTTGAGCGCTTCTGCTCCATCCCCGACACCGAGCTCCAGCCCTTCCCTCCTTTCTATGCCGCTGTCACCCCCCAGTTGTGCCCCCCTGTCCCGGGACACTCATCCCAAGGGGCCTCGGGCAGCCCCAGGAGCCTGCGCAAGCCCCGAGAGGGGAACCCCGAATCACACCCCAAGACCAACCAGCCTCCCCGCAGCACCACCGTTACGGGGAGCAGTGTCAAACTCTGCACTTGACTGTCCCCCAAACTTGCAGCAGCAGGGTCAGACGTCACTTCAGCGGTGACAGAACGAGTCCCTGTGCTCCCAGTGGGAGCAGAGAAGGCAAGACTGGGATGGTCCCGACGAATTCCCCCCGACTGAGCCCGGGGTCTGGCAGCGGGTACCTGCACCCACCTGATTTATGGGGGTGGCCGAGCCCGTGCTCTGCCTCGCTGTGAGCTCGGGGCGTCACGTAGCGAATGGACGTCTCCTCCAGGTACTTGTCCACCAGGTCCGGGCACACTGGAAGAGACAGAGGACACGGGTCGCTTCAAGGAGGGACCGAGAGATCCCTCCTGGCGCGGAGGAGCTGCTCTGCATCCCCCTGAGTGCGGCTGCACGTCCAGGGGCCGTTTCTCCAGCCAGTCCTCTCAGAAAATCTCCGTTTGGGAGCCAAGCCCTCCCAGCCGCGGCGCAGGAAAGGCCGAATCCGTTTGTTATCACAGCTGATCCCAACACCCGGACTCGGAGCAGACCGGCGGCGCCGCGCACGCACAATCCCCGGGAGAACCTCGGGGCGAGGCGGGCAGGGCCCCGGCACCGCTCCCACACCCCACCGGTCACACGTGCCCGCCGGCCGCTCACACCAGCCCCGGATTCATCTCGAGCTCCCGCAGCTCGTGGTGGTCTGAGCAAAGGTCTGGGGGAGCAGCCACCACTCCTCCTCCTCCTCCACGGCCCCCCTAGAGCAGAGCCGGGGCGGGGGGACGGAGACACAGCAGCAGCTCCAGGCCCCCGGGTCGGACCTGGCTGCTTGAATTGCTTTAGGACAAACTGGCACGCACCCAAAACCTTAAGCTTACATTATTTACCCAACTTTAGCAGAGCAAACTTTCGGCGTAACACGGGGCTTTGAGGAGAGTCAAGCTGCTGAGCAGAAGCAGCTGCTGAGCAAAGATTACGGGGAAAAATTAGCTATTTTGGAGGGCCGTGACATTTTCTGCGGGTTGTTTTTGTCCTGTTTGGCGAGCTCAGAGCCCTGCCTGTCCCCAGGCAGGATCCCTCCCATCCCCGCCGGACCGAAGCCGGCCAGGGCTGCGTGTCCCCGGCCCCCCCCACCGCTCCCTGCCCTCGCCCAGCCGGCTCCAGCTGCGCCGAGCTAATTCAGGACGGGGTCTTGCTGCCTTTCAGCGCCACGAATACGAATGAGGCAGGAGGAGACAAGACCTCCCGCTGCTGCGGGGTCTGGAAGGGCACGGGAACCAGAAACAAGCGTCAGCTCGCTAGGTCCGGAGGAGACTTCCTTTAACCAAGAATCCCTCCTCTTTAAATGCAAAGCGCTACGCATTATAAACCACATGTAAGGTGCCTTTCTTCATAAAGCTTTTTGAAATGCTATTTCTGCGCATTTAATTAAACCGTTTCCACCCGAGCGTGGCTGGAGACATCGCAGGAACGAGATCTCACGGGTAGGGAGCATCGCTCCTCGCGCGACAGCGGCGTGCGGAGACCTGAGCGCCGACCTGCGGCTCCCCGACCGCGTGGGCACCGCGCTCCGATCCGATACCCATCCCTCCATCTCACCCGGAGAACGCCAAACCCTGGCGGGGGGAGGGCTCGCCTGGCCTCAGCCGACCGAGGTACAGCTGCCGAGTGACCCTTCAGTTTGGAATCCTGCACTGAACGAGCCAAAAAGCTGCTCGAGAAACACGAAGCAGGGCTGCGACACCCCCAAACCCTACGCACACCGGGGCCCCCCCGTGCGCCCTGTGGAACTGCCACCACGGAAACCTCCCCCCAACCCAATCCAAGCACCGCCCAGCCGGTCTGCATAACCTGCCCCCCTCCTGCTCTCCCCTTGCCCCTCGTTTTTCTCGGCTCGGCGCAGGAGCAGTGCCGGAAGGCGACGCCGGCAAACAGCCGCCTGCACCCAGCCCTGCGAGGGGCTCGGCCCGCAGCCACGGCCGCGAACGGGCTGGGACCCATCCCCGGCACAGAGCGCGCTCCCAGCCCCCAGAAAATGCCAGATAACGGGAAAACCCTCACGGCGCCTGGCCTGAGCCCGCAGGGGTGCAGGGCGAGGTGCAGGCAGGGCTCAGGCTCCGTCCCACGAGGCCCATCCGGGCTGGAAGATTCTGGCCTTTCGGTGGGGCTCAAGGCAGCAGCGTCCCTGGCCCGATGCTGCTTAAAAAGCGACTGGAGCACAAAAACCCCGTTAATTTTCAAGTCAGCTGGCCCAGCTTCCCGCTCGCGGGGCTCGTTCACACCGTCCCTCCTCTCACCCCCCCAGGACCCGGGAGGTTTTAATGCCTGCCTCTACTTGTGCTCACCGCTTTCCCAAGCGCTGGCAGGGAACAGCACCGCTGCCCACGGGGCGAGCAGAAACCGGGAAGACTCAGCAGCCTGGAACTGCCAAGAAAGCCCAATTATCCTAATTTAAAGCAAAAATGCAAATTTTGAGAGGCTGAATCCTGCTGGAGCAGCTGCCTTACGCATCCCCTGCAACAAGTGCTCTCTCCTTCATGACTCCTCTGGTTCTGGTTGATCTGGGTTACGTCCTTTGAACTGTAAATTGAGGATTTTAGCGAAAAAAAAAAGGCACAGGGCCAAGCTGGTGGAGGGCAGGGTGTCAGCTCAGCCTGGCAGCTCTATGAAGTGACCAAAAACTCACAAAATTATCCAAATATCCAGGTCACTGTTGGGGTCTCCAAGCCAGGAGAGAGCAGGGGGAAAGGGGGCAGCCAGGAGGGGAGGGTTTGGGGCACCCCACTGGAAAATGGGTGGAAAAAAAAAAAAAACAAACCAAAAGCCTGAACTTGGACACGGGTTTCTCACTCCGGCCTCACTGTGTACTGCACGCCCCAGGACTGACAGCACCAGCTCGGGGAGGATGTCAGGTGCCTTCCCAAACTCACCTCAGCCCCGAGAGGATGAGCAGGTTCCCCCCGAAGCCGATGGCACCTCAAGCACAGCACCACGAGCTTCCCCGGATCCTCCCAGCTCCTTCTCGCCCCCTGGCACAGCCCCGGGGCTGCCCACGGCATCTCGCCCCAGGCAGGAATTTGGGCCAAAAGGAGCATTTCCCTGAAAACTAGAGACGAGCAGCAGGAGCTGGGAGCCGCGCAGCGCGCAGCAGGAATCCCAGTTCTCTGCTGCTGAAGAAAGGAGACCTTGGCGCTTGCCACAAACGAAACAAGGCTTTAACCCCCCCAAAACTCTGCGTGGGCACTCGCTAAAGCCCCGTAACACGCCCCTTGGCCTGCCCTGCCTGCATTTCCCCGCGGCTCTGGCAGTTTGTCCTTACAAGCCTCAGGGTCCTTTAGCCACGGCGTCTCCAGGGCGCCAGGAGAGGAACATCAGGCGACAGCTGAGTAACGAAGCGGGCTTCGTTAGGGAGCGGGCCAGGCTGCCAGCAGCGCCACTTACCGGCCCGTCGCCTCTTGAGGGTGACGTAGGGCAGCAGGTCGTGGCGCGTGATGATCCGCAGCAACTGCAGCACCTGCCGAAAGTTGGTCTCGTCGCAGCGGCCCTGCCGCTCCAGCGCCAGCAAGAAGTCCCGGCCGCTGCGGATCATCCCCCTCTCGTAGTCGTCGATCACGTCCACGAAGAGGAAGGAGAGCACCCGCACGTCCCGGTGGGTCAGGTGCGTGCCCACGATGTCGAACATGCGGTGCAGGCTGTACAGCCCGTGCTCCCGGTCGCCCCGCTCCTCCGGCCAGGCTTGTGCTCGGCTCCGTTTGAAGGTGGCCATCTTCCACCGCAGCGGGCACGCGCCGAGCCAGGGGCTCCTCTCAGCACCGCAACCCTGGAAGACAGAGAGCCAGCGGGATTTAATCCCTTCCCTCCCGGTACTTGATTAAAAACCCCGCTCTGCATCCCCCCGCCACATCGCCACGTTTGGCAGCGACTCGTCCTCTCCTCTGCCAGAGCATCGTACACCAAAAATCGAGGGTTGGGCACCAGGCCGACGGCACTGGCCTCTGCCACGTTGACTTAGGAACCCAAACACCGTCTGGCAGAGACACCGAAGAGCTACAGGGCTCCAGGCCGTGATGCAGGCGAGGACCGATGTCCTCCACCCCCGCAGAACGAGTCCCCACATCCCCTGGCAAAGCCGAGCGGGCGGCTCGACAGCCCCAGCTAAACCCTCCGCCGCCGCACCGGTGGGCACCGACCGCGCGAAGCCATTCGGCGCAGCCACCGGCATCGCACCAAAACATCAAGGGAGAAGGAAATCAGCCGCTCGGCAGGCCCCGACCTGTTGGGCTTGGAAGTCGGAGCAGAGCAAGCCTCGTCAGACCGGCTTCAGCGGCTGACTCGGGGCTCACCCTCCTCATCTCAGCAGGTTTCTCACCCGGTTACAGCCCCCCCGGGCAAGTTCCTCGTCGCTCTGCCGTCACCCGGCTCTTTCAGCGGCATCGGCAGCTTCGTTTCTTCACCAAGAGCCATGGGGAGTCACGCACCCCGCCGAAAAGAGGAGGGCCCCGCAGGAGCCCCAGCCCTGCCTGGCCTCCTTTGGGCACCATGCGCTGTCACAGCGCAGCGGGTGACATGAAGGTGCCCCGTGCCTGGGAACGGCACCGTGACACCGCACGGAGTCAGCCGTGACACACGCCGGGGGCCGGTGACGAGCCGTTCGGCCACGCGGTGACAGGGTTACGAGTGAACCACACCGCCCGGCCTGCTGGGCGCCGGGGCACCCCCGGGCTGTGCAGGGGGGGCTTCGGACCCCCAAGGCGCACTTAAACCCCCGCGGCGAGCCTCAGGCTCGGGGCTGCTGGTAGCACCCATGGCAAAAAGGCCCCTGCCACGGGCACAGCCTCAGTGCACCGGCACCTGGGGGGGGGGGGTGTCACGCTGTTGTTGCTTCAGGGTTTTACCCCAAAACGACAGCCCTCGTTAGAGGAGGGGGGTGCGGAGCCCCCCTGCCCCGTGGCAGAGCCGAGGTCACGGTCCAGTACCGTCGGCAGCTCCCTGCTCCATCCGGCACCGGGCCACGGCTGCTCTTCCCTCGGGAGCTCGCCCCAGCCCGGCCGGCCCCACCACGGAGCAGCTTTGCCTGGTTACAGTTCCCAAAACAGAGGCAGCAGCGGCGTAAACACGGGACACCAGCAGGAATCTCCCGACTATTCCCGGCACGGCTGGTGACTCACGCTCCGGCCCCAGGCAGGCGGGGAGCCCTCGGCCACCAGCGCTCAATGGGAGGGTTTTAATTCCTATCATAAAATGCAAATAGCTTAAATTAAAAACGTGTTGAGTGACTGCGGCTCTGAAAACAGTCTGACACGGCTCTGCCTACTCCAGCTGGGGAGGAGAGGGCAACAGATACTCTACAGCTTCCTCCTAAGTAGGAAAGACATTTCAATATAGCTTCTAGTGAAGATATTTCTTGGCACAAACAGCCTGTAGCCATCTCCACGCAGGGGAGAGGGGAGAAAAATCAGAATAAAGCACCCTGGTTCTCCTCCAACCTGGAAGCTGAGCCACATCAGCTCCACGGAGAAGTCCGAGTGCACTGGGCTGCAGCCCGGCACATCCCAGGAGAGGGGACGGATTTCTCCCGTCTTGCAAACCCTGCGAAAGCCAAGTCATGGAGAGGCCTTTACCAGGAGCTGCGGCTGCATCACGACAGGACATCAACGGGCAGCACGGGGTAATTGTGGGAACACAGAATCAAAGTGTAAAAAAAAAAAAAAAAAAAAAAAATTATGGCAAACCATCCTTAGTGTGGACAGTTGGTGTCACGAGCGGAAAAAGCACCGCGCGCAACCAGAGCGTTTGCCAAGAGCCACATTCCGAGCTGCCGGTGAAGCCGCCGGCGCTCCCCGGCCGCCCCGGGCTGGTTGTGGTGCTGCAGCGCCAGCGCCCACCAGTAACCGAGCGCCCGTGCCCCTCGTCTGACAGCCGGGCGTCCCGGTGCCCGCCGGCCCCGCTCAGCTCACACCCACCCGCCGGGGGTGCCACGGGTGCCGCACACCCGCCCTGGCCAGGGGGGCTACAGATATTCCTGCACAAAGCAAAATACACAAGAAACAGGCGCCAGCGAGGCCTCTGCTTTCTTCCCAGTGTCCTGTAAACAGCTCCCAGATAAAAAAAACTGAACACAAACCCACACGGCCTCTTATCAGCTGACTGCCCGGAGATTTACCCCACGTCACCCTCCCCAGAAACCCGACCTCTGTCCCCGGAGCAGCGCCCGTTCCGTTCCGTTCCGCCGCCCCGCAGAACTGGGAGGAACCGCCCAAACCTGGGCAGCCGCTCTCTGGGACCCTCTCTGGGAGCATTTCATTTAAAATGGCCCATTTTTCTGCAGTCAGATTTGCCAAGTACCGGGTTGCATAAACTCAAGGCAGAAATTAGGCAGATGCTCTCTTTTGACTATTTAGTACCAACCACCCTGGAATTACATGGCATTTTTCCTTCCAGGGAGGCAAAAAAAAAAAAAGGCAACTTGACGCTGTGCTGCCTAAACACAACAAGAAATTCAGCAGAAAAAGACTTTGTGTGTGGGGGAAGTACTGAGTCCCGAGGGGCAGTTCCTTGTAGCTGCACCACCCAAAAACCACAAAAAGCTGTCAAATTTATTTTCAAGCAGGGGATTCCAGCAGCCGCTACTTGGAAGAGATCCCTGCTTCCCCTCGCCTCTGGCTCTCCTCCCACCTTAAACCCACAGGATCGGAAGACTGGAGCAGCTTTGCTCTGCACATACATTAAAAAAAAAAAAAAAAACTAAAATCCTTTGATTTTCCTCAAGAAACAGCCCCGTCGTGAGTGTAGGGAGCAGGAAGGATCTCCCAGCGGAGCACGAGAAGCTGCCTGTGCCCCAGTTCGCTGATGGCACTGGGGCAGGAACCGTGCGTCCCCAGAGACCCCTGCCCACCCCCAGCACAAACAAGCAGCACATCACGCCCGCTTAGGAGGAGACTTTCCTCAAGAGGAGACTTTCGGTTGCACTCCAGGATCATTAAAATAATTTAAGGCGAACAGGAAAAACAAGCTCTTGGTGCCTACAAAGCTCTGCAGTTAATCAGCCCGAGCCTTACTCAACCCCCATGGATGCTGGGGCTTTTTGCCACTGACGTGCAGGTAACTATCACAAAAACCCACCTCCTGACAGCACATTCCTGCCCGGATGGGGCTCAGAAGTCACAAAACCCAACTTCAAGTCGAAATTTGGCTCTGAGGTGAAATTTCCGGAGCAGCCCAATCCCAGCCTCCTCCGTCCGGCGCGCTGCAAACAGATGCGAGGGAGACACCTAGTCGCGTTTTCGCCGCAGCCCAGCCCAGCCCCGACCCTGCTCCACTCGGCCAGGGCTGAGGATGAACGGCGCCGCGGAGCCGCGGCAGGCACGCGGAGCCTGAGGCAGAACCAGGACCCAAACACCAATTTTCCCAACGCGCCCCATTACCAAAGAGCAGGAAACGCAAACAGAAACAAACAGCCAAACGCTTTGGTTTCACCACCCAGGCAGCAGTTAACAGGGAGATCTCTTCCTCTCCTCTCCAGACACCTTCAACCTGAAACTGCCTTTGCAAAAAGCAATTAGACCTGAGTCGTTCCGGCGGCCCAGCTCAGCCCAGCTCTCCTCCCGACAGCTCCTGCGGTCACTATCACACCAAGCACACGTTTCTTTTCCTCCCCTTCCTTGGGAAGGAGCTCGGCCGCCCTGCAGCTCCCCGCACACGTACGGATCCCGTCCGTCGCGATGGCAGCCCTGGCCTCGAGCTCGGGAGCCGCTCGCCGAGGCCACTCGGCTGCTGCCGGTTTTTTGTGGAACCGAGCACCCAGCCACACAGGTCAGGAATCCTCCCGATCCCCGGGGCGGCAGACAGATGGGACACTGCCCGTGGTGACCGTGGTGCCTGTCCCAGCACACTCGCCGCCCCAAGGCATCACACCCGGCGGACAGGTACCCTCAGCTGACAAACTCGCTACGGGACGAGAGGGATTAATGGGAAAAGCGGGGACATAAACAGTTCCTGCTGCACAGAGGAGGAACCGGTCAAAGGGAGCTGAGAAGAAATAAGATTAATCCATGTTTGCCCTCTTTGGAGGGGTTTATTTTGCCCTTGCCCCTGCAGCACTCCATGTCAGTGCTGGTGAGGGGACAGCAGGTCCGTGCTGGTACAAGAACACCCGCAGGGCAGAAAAAGATCCTAAACCCACTGCTAATGAGAGCAAACCCCCTAACCCCAGCCTGGCAAAAGAGGAGGGGAGCGGGCACGGCCATCCCCGGACACCCCGGCAGGGAAGGCCGGAGGAGGAGGAGGAGGAGGAGGAGGAGGAGGAGGAGGAGGAGGAAGTGCTCAGCCACGCTGCGTCACTGGACAAAGTCTTCCTAACCCCACGAGAACGAGCCAGACGCAAAAACAGTTCTGCTAGCAGTTGTTCCAGGGTAGGACTGGGTCGTTTTGTTTGTTGGTTTTTTTGTTTTTTTTTTTTTTTTTGGTGCATGGGTTTAGTTGGGGGAGGGTAATTTTTATTTTTAAGTGCAGGAAGCGCTTTTCACTTCAATTCATCACCTGTTCCAATTCCCATCACCTCAATTAATCTAATTTCTGCCGCCGAGCAGCCTCGATTTCCAACGCCACTAATGGCTGCCCTGGCTGGCGCCGGCAAATGGGCCCCACAGAAACAGCCCCCTCCGGTTGCTGCGGGGGTGCCGAGCGCTGGGAACGGTGCCCGAGCCACTGCGCACCGACGGGGGGAAAAAAGGGGCAAAACCCTAACGAAATACCCGAAGCCGGAACCTCCCCGAGCCTCCCCTACGCCGGCACGTACCCGCAGGCGCCGCTCGAGCCGTGGAAACGGGAGCGCGGGCAGGGGCCGCGGCGTCACCGACGTCAGCCGGGCAGCGCCCGCCCGGTGCCCCCCGGTGAACACCGATCGCCCTTCCCACCGGCAAAAAGGCACCCGACGGGGATTCACCTGCGGCCAAGCCTCCCAAACTTCTCCGAGTCAGGACAATTAGCCAAACCGCGAAGTTATTAACGCGGGCAGGCGCCCGTCCGACCCCAGAGAGAAATCTCGGCGGGCAGCGAGGCCGGATTCTGTGCGCGGAGGATGGAGCCGCTCCCCATCTGTCCTGACGGCACAAGGCCCACGCGAGCAGCTCCTTCACGGGGCGGAGGGACGGGCGAATCGTTAGTACGTCAGAAAAAAGCCCAAAACGTACATAGGTGCACCCACCTTAACGAGGAGCTCTTCTGGTCTTGCTTATATCCACACTTCGAACAGCAGCCAAGCGAGAGTGTTTTTAAGAAGTCTTCTATCCCCTTTTCTCCTTGACTCTTTAAATAAACTACCCAACAAAACCGCGGCAGCGCCTGCAGTTTCACGTATGGCTCTTGCAGCGGGGAAGCCAAACGTCCAGAGTCGGGTACCGGCGGTCAGTGTTAAAGCTGGTCGACTTGCCAGAAGCCACCCAAATTTTTTTTTTTTTTTTCCTCCAAAACCTTCTCTTTTTCCTACTTAATAATTTATTGACATAGGGAGGAGGAAAATTAAAAGTCCAGAACTCACCCTGCGCTCTCTAGGTCATTTCTTTTTTAAAAAAAGACCATTCCTGAAGAACTACCTCCCCTGTTCCCTTCTTACCAGCAGGACTTAACGCCGGCCTCACAGATGCAGGCAATGGGCAGGGTGCTCAGATTACCTTAAACCTCGATTTGCTTTCTTTGTATAGCAATTCCCCCCGAAACTGGATCGGGTGAAGTGATAAACCTTAATAACGAAGCCAAGAGAAGGTCACCTGAACTGGGTTATTCTTTTAAAATTCAGCCCATACCTTCTCCTCTGCGCTTACTCGCAATCAGAGCGCCCGTCTCCTTCCCGGGACCAGTTTATCCCCCAGGACACGGCCAGCTCGGCAAGCTGGGCCCAGCGCCTCGTCCCAGCCTCCGCAGCCACGCTGCCCTACGCCTCTATTAAATACTCAAAAATAAAAACTCTGGTTCTTCCAGAAGCGAAGCTTAAAGCTCCCGAAAATATTGCGCGAAACGACCCGGCCGGGGTTACCCGGAGGCGGCCAAGGCTTCGCTGCGCGGCTCTTCCCTCTCCGTTACCGGCACCTCCCGCAGCCCGGCCCCGGCCCCGGCCCCCCCGCAGCCCGGGAGCCCCCGAGGCTTTTCAAAGCTTCTCGGTCGGAGCTCCGGGAACCGGAGCGGCCCTGTCTTCTCCCCGCCGGGCCCCGGGAGCGGCAGCGGCGGGGAGGGCGGCGAGGGGCCGCCGGCCCGAGGGGGCTGCCCCGCGGGTGGCCGAGGAGAGCGGCTCGGCGGCCCCCGCTAAGCCCCCATCCCGCGGGACCCGCGGCCTCTCCTGCGCTGCCGCTGCCCGGTACCGGGCCGCGCCGAGGGCGGGGGGGGGGGGGGGGGGAGGCGGCCTGGGCCCGGGCCCGTCCCCTCACGCACAGGCGCCGCCGAGGAGCCCTCTCACACCGCCCCCGCCATGCCCGCCGGCTCGGCCCCCGCTCCGCTGCGCCGGCCCCGCTGCGGGGCTGCCCGGGCTGAGGCCGCCGCGGCCTCGGGCTCAGGCCCGGCCCAGGCTCGGCGCCGCCATGTTGGCTCCGTCCGCTCCGCTCCCCGCTCGCAGGCGGCCGCCGCGGCTGCGGAGCGACGCAACATCCGGGGCCGCGGCCCCGCCCCTCCACGCCTGGGCCCCGCCCACCTCTCCGCCTTCACTCCGGTTGGGGAAGGCGGGCTGAGCGGCGCCCTCTTGGATAAGGGCAAGGGGGCGGGCCCATCCGGGTCACGGGCCGGCGGCTTCAGCGCCCTTCGGGAACACCGGAGCGCCGCTGCCATGTTGGACGAGGGCAAGCTGGCAAGGCAGCCACGCCCGTCAGTCACGTGGGGGCACGGCCGCCATCTCGGGAGAGGGCAGGCGGGGTCCCGCCGGCGCGACTTCGCGCCTATTGCGGGTCATGAGGGGGCGCCGCCATCTTGACTGAGGGCAGAGCGGCAGGAAGGGGGGGGTGCTGTCCCTGGGGTTCGGGGGTCCCTTGGGGTTCTCCTGGGGATTGAGGGGGTGCTTTGAGGCGGAGGGGGGTCCCTGGGGAATATGGGGGGCCCTGGGGGGCTGGGGAGGCCCTGGGCGGGCGGTTGGCTGGGGGGCGGGGGGCTTTGGGGACAAGGCGGGGCTTTGGTGACAAGGGGGGGCCTGGGGACAAGGGGGGGGGGGGGTCCCCGCCAGGAAAAGGCACCTCGGGCCGGGGTCGCCCATTTCCCCGTCTCCGGTACATGGTGCCAAGGCGGGGGGGGACACCCATGGGCTGCGCCCCAGCCCTGCCCCCCCGCCCGCGCCCCCCACCTTTGCACCCATTTGGGGTGGGGAAACTGAGGCAGGGCGCGGTCCGCGACCCCCGGCCGGGGGGGGGGGCTCAGCACCCCGTATCCCTCGCGGGCGGGAGTTGCGGGCGCGCCCCGGGGTGCTGCGGGGGCGGGCCGGGCTGGGCGCCCTGCCACGCGCGGGGTGCCTCCCCCCCCCCGGGGTCCCCACGCCTTGGCACCCCAATTAGTCGCTAATTAAGCCCGCACGCGCCGGGGTGACGCCCCCGCCGGGATAGAGTGTGATAGCGGGTCCATGGGGGGGGGCGGCGATGAGGGGGGTCCCAGAGGTCTGGGGGCAGGATTGGGGGGGGGGTGTCAGGAATGGGGGTCCGGGGAGGCAGAACGGGGGGCCCGGGGGGGTTAGGAATGGCGGGGGGGTCCGAAGGAGCAGGATGGGGGGTCCGGTGGGGCAGAACGGGGGGGTCAGGATTGGGGGGGGGGGTCCGAGGGAGCAGAAGGGGGGGGGGGGGGCGTCAGGAGTGGGGATCTGGGGGGGTCAGGCGTGGGGGTCCGGTGGGGCAGAACGGGGGGGTCAGGATGGGGGGGGGGGGTCCGAGGGAGCAGAATTGGGGGGGGGGGGCGTTAGGAGTGGGGATCTGGGGGGGTCAGGCGTGGGGGTCCGGTGGGGCAGAACGGGGGGGTCAGGATGGGGGGGGGTCCGAGGGAGCAGAAGGGGGGGGGGGGGGCGTCAGGCGTGGGGGTCCGGTGGGGCAGAACGGGGGATGCGGGCGGTCGAGGGGGGGGGCTCGGGGCGGGGGGCAGCCGGCGGAGGGAAGGGGTTAATGCGGAGCGGGGCCGGGCGGGGAGCGGGTGAGTCAGCGGGGCCCCCCCGGCCCCCCCGGCCCGCCCCCGCCGTGCCTATCCCGGGCGGCGCCGCGCCCCGCCACTGCCCGCTCCGCTCCGCACCGCTCCGCTCCGCACCGCCCGTGAGTACCGCACCGGGGGGGCCACCCCGCACCCCGATGCCGGGGGGGGGCCGAGGCTGCAGCCTTTTGGGGGACACCCCATGGCTGCACCCCGCTGGGGGGGGTCAATCCTGCACCCCGCTTAGGGGGGGGGGAATCCTTCACCCTGCCATGGGGGGTCCAATCCTGCACCCTGTTATGGGGGGGGGGGCTCAGTTCTGCACCCCTCGCTTAAAAGGGGGAACCCCAGGCACGGCCCCCCGGGTGGGGAGCCCCAGTCCTGCCCCCCTGCCAGAGGGGGACCCCAATCCGGCCCCTCCCGTTAGGGGTGAGCCCCATCCTCCCCCCAGAGCAGCGGGACCTTTAGGCTTGGGGCCCCCCTCCCCCATTAAAGGGGGACCCAACCCCGCACCCCCATTTGGAGGGGGACCCCGAAGATGAGCACGCGGGTCAGGGACACCCCACCCTGACCACGCCACCCCGCCCCAGAGGGTGTGGGGGTGCCCGTGGAGGGGCCTTTCCCCCCCTCAAGAGATGCCCCCGTGCCCTGGGGGGGCCGGGGGGGTCCCGGTGCTGAGCTGGGGGGCCCAGCCCTGCCGCACCCCCTCCCCGGAGCCCCCCTCCCCAAGTTCTTGGCGGACTGGGCCAGTTCCTGTTTCGGTGACGGGTGCCCACGCTGGGGTGTGGCTGCGGTGTCCCCAACCCTGCGGCGGCCCGGAGGGGGGGCACGGGGGGGGGGGGCAGCGGTCCCGTGGGGCAGGGGTGTCCCCACGCTGCCGTCACCCCACATCTCGCCCAGGCATCCCCTCCCGAATGATTGGGGACACACACACGCATCCCTTGGCGGGGGGCTGCTTTGGGGCTGCCCCCCCGCCCCGTGACCCTGCAGGCGTGGGGAAACTGAGGCAGGGTGCACCCCGCCCAGGGAGGAGACTGGGGGCTTTGTGCAACGCCCCCCGCCATGACTCACTGGGGTTCCCCAGGGTGCCCCGTAGCCGGAGAGGGGGACACACACACACACGGGACACACCCGCAGGATGCGTGTATGTGTGTGTGTCCCCCCCCGGCCCCACCCCGCGGCCGCAGCCGGAGCTGAGTCATTCCTGATGGCTGGAAAAGTGCTCACACGTGTGATGAGCGGTGCCAGCCTCAGCCCGCAGCCTGCCAGCGGGGGGGGGGAGGTTTGGGGGGGGGGGGGGGGGCACGGCTGAGCTGTGTCGTCCCCCCCGCAGCCCCCCGCCATGCCGTCCCAGATGGAGCACGCCATGGAGACCCTCATGTTCACCTTCCACAAGTACGCGGGGGACAAGAACCACCTCAGCAAGGAGGACCTGCGGGCCCTCATGGAGAAGGAGTTCCCCGGCTTCCTGGAGGTGGGGGGCAGCGGCGGGCGGGGGGACCCCTAGCACCCCGGGATCAGCCCCTATAGCACCCCAAGATCAGCCCCCATAGCGCCCCGGGATCAGCCCCCATAGCACCCCAAGATCAGCCCCCATAGCGCCCCGGGATCAGCCCCTATAGCGCCCCGCTGTCAGACCCTGCAGCACCCCAGGGTTAGACCCCATAGCACCCTGTGATCAGACCATAAAACACCCCAAGATCAGCCCCTATAGCACCCCAAGATCAGACCCTATAGCACCCCAAGATCAGCCCCCATAGCACCCCAAGATCAGACCCTATAGCACCCTGCGATTAAGCCCTATCACACCCTGGGGTCAGACTGTATATCACCCCAAGATCCGCTCCCGTAGCACCCCAATATCAGACCCCATTCCACCCCAAGATCAGACCCTATAACACCTCAAGATCAGCCACTGTAGCACCCCAAGATCAGACCCTATAGCACCCGGGGATCAGCGCCCATACACCCCAATATCAGGCCCTGTAGCACCCCAAGATCAGACCCCATCGCACCCTGGGATCAAACTGTATACCACCCCGATATCAGACCCTGTCGCACCCCAAGATCAGCCTCCATACATCTTAGGATCAGACCCTATAACACCTCAGTATCAGCTGCTGTAGCACCCCAGGATCAGACCCTACAGCCCCCCGATACCAGCCCCCGTACACCCCAGGATCAGACCCTACAGCCCCCCGATACCAGCCCCCGTACGCCCCGCGGCCAGCCCCGGTAGCAGCGCAGGACCCACCCCTCCCCCCGACGCCGGGGCGGGGGGCGCTGACCCCCGGGCCCCCCCAGAACCAGCGGGACCCGATGGCGCTGGACAAGATCATGCGGGACCTGGAGCAGAGCTGGGACGGGCGCGTGGGCTTCCAGGGCTTCTTCTCGCTGGTGGCCGGGCTCACCATCGCCTGCAACGACTACTTCGTGCTGCACATGAAGCAGAAGGGCCGGAAGTGAGCGGGGGGCTGCCCCCCGCCCGGGGGGCTGCCCCGACACCCCTGGGTGCTGCCCCCCGCCCTGGGGTGCTGCCCCGACACCCCTGGGTGCTGCCCTGACACCCCTGGGTGCTGCCCCCTCACCCTGGGGTGCTGCCCCCTCACCCTGGGGTGCTGCTCCCTCACCCTGGGGGGCTGCCCCCCCGCCTTGGGGTGCTGCCCCCCCGCCGGGGGGCTGCCCCCCACCTGGGGTGCTGCCCCCCCACCCCTGGGTGCTTCCCCCCCTGCCCTGGGGTGCTGCCCCGACACCCCTGGGTGCTGCCCCCTGCCCTGGGGTGCTGCCCCCCCCACCCCTGGGTGCTGCCCCGACACCCCCTGCTGCCCCCCCCACCCCAATAAAGGTGTTTTCTACTACACTGGAGCTGCCTCGTTTCTTGGGGTCACCGCCCCCAGTGGGGTGTCCCCCCACATCCCTGTACCCTTGGGGTCCCTGTCCCCCCGGGGTCCCCATCCCCTGTCCCCATCCCCCCCCAACCCATGGGGTCACCCCAGCCATGGGGGGGGGGGGGAAGCACAGGCCCCCCCTAAACAGCCAGAGCCAGCTGGGGGGGGGGGGGGCCCGACATGGGTGTGTAGGGGCACAGGGGCAGTATGGGGGTGTGTAGGGGCATGGGGGGGCTCGGGGGTCCGGGGGGGCTGTATAGGGGGTGTAGGGCTTCTATAGGGACTGCCCGGGGGTGGAGGGGGGGCTGCAGCAGCCAGCGGGGGCTGTGCGGGCCGGTATAGAAATCTGCGGGGGCAGTATGGGGGTCTATAGGGGCTGCCGGGGGCTGGGGGGCTCTGCAGGGCCCAGCCAGGTCTATACATTGGCATATAGGCGACCTGGAGGTGCCGCGGGGTTGGCGGGGGGCTGCGCGCGGCTGGCGTGGAGGCCTGCAGAGGCACGAGGGGGGGACGTAAGGGCCGTAGGGGGCCGCGAAGGCGCGTGTAGGGGCTGCGTGGGGGTCCCCAGGAGCTGCGTGGGGCCGTGTGGGGCTGTACAGGATGGTATAGGGGTGTATGGGGGGGCGGGGGGGGTCTATAGGGGCTGTATGGGGCAGTATAGGGGTCTATAGGGGTCTATAGGGGCCATAGAGGGGCTGGGGGGGTCCCTCGGGGCTGAACAGGCTCTATAGGGGCCTATAGGGGACCCTCGGGGGACGGGGGGTTGGGGTCAGGGGGTGGCTGACCTCTGACCTCTGACCTGGCTGTCCTTGGCCCCACTGGGGTCCCGGGGGGGGGTGGGGGAGCACTGGGAGTGACGTCACTGCTGGGGATGACGTCACTGCCGGCTTCCAGCATGGTGGCACCGAGTCCCCCCCCCCGACAGGGCGTGACATCACCGGGGGGGGGGGGCCCGGTGACAGTGTGTGACGTCACCGGTGACCTCACCGACCGAGCGTGACGTCACAGCCAGGAGGCACGTGGCGCAGTGGCATGGGCGTGGCTGCCGGTGGCCGTCCCCGCGCCCCGCCCCCCCGGAGGGTCACCTCGTGTCCCCCCCATGTGCCCCCCCGTGTCCCCCCCATGTGCCCCCCCGTGTCCCCCCCTTGTCCCCCCCGGGCCCCCCCCCCGCGCCTTGCGGCAGCCTTGCAACCCGACCTCAACATCGCCCACGCGTCGCGCGTGTCCCCGGGGACACGGGGGGGTTTCCCCAAGGTGGGGGGGGGGACACACACAGGGGTCCCCCCCCCGCCCGCTGTGGCCGCGGCTGGGGACACGCCGCCCCCCCGGGCCCCCAGCGAGGACGGGGACACCCCGGGGCCCCCCCGCGAGTGGCCGTGGGGGGGGGTACGGGGGGATCCCCTCAGCCCGGCCCCCTCCTCCTCCAGGTCTCTTCATCCGGCCGCGGGAGGACGCGCCTCGCCACCGCGTGTGTGTCCACGCGTGTCCCCCGGTCACCCCCGTGTCCCCCCGCATGTCCATCCCCCCCCCGCCGCCTCAGTTTCCCCAGGCGGGGCTGGGGGGGGCCGTGAGCAGCAGCGCCGCCGCGCATCACCCCTCGTGTCGCCGGTTTCCGTGGGGTTCGGTCACATCCCTCGCGGTCACGGGTGGCACCCCACGGCCGGGAGGGGACCCTCGGGGGGGCGGGGGGTGGGGGAGCCCCTTTGGGACCGTGTGTGTGTGTGTAGGTGCGTGTGTCCGCGTCCCCGCCGCGCTGCCCACGGGTGGGGGGTCCCACGGCCCGTGGAGTCCCCGCCCACGGGACCCCCGGTGAGGGGCGGGGCCGCGGCAGGGGGTGTGTGGGCGGAGTCGCTGGGGTGGGCGGGGCTCCGGCCGGTTTGCGTGGGCGGGGCGTGGGGCGTGGGCGGGGCGTGGTGGTTGTGGGCGGGGCCGGGCGCCCCCCGTTCCCCGCCATTGCGCAGGGGGCGGGGGGAGCGGGGGGACCCCCGGGTCTGGGGGGCGCTCCCAGCGCTGCGGCCTCAGTTTCCCCCACGGCCCGGCCCCGCCTGAGCCCCCGCTGGGGCCTGGCACAGGGGGGGCCGCGGCTGCACCCCAACACTGGGCACACTGGGGTGCCGGGGGGTCCCATGGCTGCACCCCAACACTGGGCACACTGGGGTGCCGGGGGGTCCCATGGCTGCACCCCAAAGCCAGGCACATCGAGGTGCTGTGGGGTCCCGTGGCTGCACCCCAGGGCCAGGCATGTTGGGGTGCTGTGGGGTCCCACCAGTGCGCCCCAGGGCCAGGTACGTCAGGGTGTCCGGGGGTCCCACTGCTGCCCCCCGAAGCTGGACACTTCAGGGTGCCGGGGGGGGCCCCGGCTGCGCCCCAGAGCTGAGCCCATCCGGGTGCCGGGGGGTCCCGTGGGGCCGGGGGGTGCCGGTGCCCACCCGCCCGCCTGGGTCCCCGCTCCGCTTCGCCCGGGGTCACCGGGGTCACGGGGGGCTGGGGGTGCCCCCGGCTGCCCGGGTCCCCGCGCCGCCCCTCCGTGCCTCAGTTTCCCCCCCTGCCGCCCCGTGGAAAGTCGGAAATTTCCAGTGCGTGGGGCCGGGGGGGCAGGATGCCGGGGGGGGGGGCAGGATGCCGGGGGGGCCCCGGCGCCCTTATAACGCTTGCCCGCGCCGCCCGCGCCGCTGCCGCCGCCATGCGAGGTAGGGCCCGGCGCGGGGGGCTGCGGTGGGGGCACACGTGTGTGCGGGCGTGTGCTCCCCTGGGGCTGCGTGCTGGGCCGGGGGAGCGGGGGGGCTGCGTGTGGCAGGGGGTGGCAGGGGGCGTGCGTGCGTGTGCGACGGGGGGAGGGAGCTGGTGGGGGTGCGCGCGTGGCTGGGCACGCGTGTGTGTGCGCGTGTGGGAGCGTGCAGGCGCGTGGGAGCGTGTGAGAGTGGCCGGGCGCACGCGGAGGAGCGTGGGAGCGGGTGTGCGGGTGTGTGCGTGCAGGTGGGAGCGTGCTGGGGTGTGCACGCGTGTGTGCAGGGGCCTGGGAGCACACGGGTGTGCGTGTGTGTGTGTGTGCAAGGGCGTGGGAGCACTCGGGTGTGCGTGTGTGTGTGTGCCATCAGTGGAGGCTCGTGAGAGCAGACGGACATGCGTGCAGGCATGTAGGAGCGTGTTTGTGTGTGTGCAAGAGTGTGGGAATGTGCATGTGCGTGTGCAACGGTGAGGGAGCGTGTACACATGTGTGTGCAAGGCTGTGGGAGCAAGCGGGGGGGGTGTGTGTGCAAGGGTGTGGAGCGTGTGAGAGCAGGCAGGAGTGGGTGTGCAAGGGCGTGGGAGCACACGGGTGTGCATGGGTGTGTGCACACATGGGCACAGCTGTGTGCTTGTGCAAGCAGGTGGGAGCATGTTGGATCATGCGTGTGCACGCATGTGAGAGTGTGTGTGTGCCAGGGCAGGGTGTGTGCGTGTGCGAGAGCACCAGGAGCTGACAGGGCACGGGGGCTGCATGTGTCAGCGTGTGTCAGCGCGTGTCAGCATCACACGAGTTTTACAGCTCACACAGCCATGTCTGGCATATGTTATAGCATGACCATGCATGTTGTGGCATGCACAGGCATGTTTTGGGGCATGCATGTGATGAAGGTTGTGTAACTGCATGTGCACACACTACAGGGTCTGTGCATGCATGTTACGGTGTGTTTCTACATGTGCACACATGTTACAGCCTCTCGCTGTGTGTACACAAATGTTAGGGTGTGTAGCTGCATGCGCACACATGTTATGGCGTGTGCACCCATGTTGCCGGGCGGTGCAGCGCGTGCGGGTGTCGTACACAGCTCCGGCTGTCCGTGCATGGAGTGTGGCATGCACGCGTGTTGCGGGGCGTACACACATGTTATCACATGTTGCTGTGTGTCCCGGCAGCGCCGGGCAGCCCCGTTTCCCCCCCCGGGGCCAGGGGGGGCGGGTGCCCCCCCAGCACCCATGGGTGCCCCCGCGCACCTGCGGGTCGGGCGCTCGCCCTTAGATGTGGCGGGGGCTGGCAGCTGCGCGGGGCCGGCGCAGGTGACACGGACGGGGACACGGACGGGGACACGCAGGTGGCCCCGCTCCGGCACCACCCCCCCGCACCACCCGCCCCCCCGCTTTGGCACTGGGGAAACTGAGGCAGGGGCTGCCGGCACCCCTGGGTGCTGGGGCCGGGGTCCCCCGGGGTCCCCTCCTCTCCGTATCATGGCATGTTGGCCTGTGCCATGACGTGTCATGGCGTGTTTTGCCGTGACGCCGCGCCGAAGGGGGGTCGGGAGCACCCGTCCATCTCCCCGCCCTGGGGACGGTGGGTGCTGATGGGCGCCAGCAGGTCCTTGTGGGTGCTGGGGGGACTGGGGGTGCCGGTGGGTGTCCCGGGAGCTGGTGGGTGCTAATGGGAGCCCGTGGGGCTGGTGGGGGCCAGTGGGTGCCCTGGGGCCCCTGGGTTCGTGTGGGGCTGATGGGTGCTGGTGGGGCTGATGGGTGCCGGTGGGTGCTGGTGGGGCTGATGGGTGCCAGTGGGTGCTGGTGGGGCTGATGGGTGCCAGCAGGTCCCTGTGGGGCTGATGGGAACCAGTGGGTGCTCATGGTGCTGGTGGGTGCTGGTGGGGATGATGGGTGCTGGTAGATGCCGGTGGGTGTTGGTGGGGATGAGGGGTACCGGTGGGTGCCGGTGTGTGCTGATGGGTGCTGACGGGGATGATGGGTGCTGGTGGGTGCCGGTGGGGATGAGGGGTACCAGTGGGTGCTGGTGGGGATGAGGGGTACCGGTGGGTGCCGGTGCGTGCTGATGGGTGCTGACGGGGATGATGGGTGCTGGTCGGTGCCGGTGGGTGCTGGTGGGGATGAGGGGTACCGGTGGGTGCTGGTGGGTGCCGGTGGGTGCTGGTGGGGATGATGGGTGCTGGTGGGTGCCGGTGGGTGCTGGTGGGGATGAGGGGTACCGGTGGGTGCTGGTGCGTGCTGATGGGTGCTGACGGGGATGATGGGTGCTGGTGGGTGCCGGTGGGTGCTGGTGGGTGCCGGTGGGGATGAGGGGTACCGGTGGGTGCCCGTACCGCTGGCAGGTGCTGGTGGGGCCGACGGGGACCGTTGGGTGTTGCTGGCAGGCGCCCAGGGGAACCGGTGCCCCCGGGAGCGGGTGGGTGCTGTGGGCGGGTGCCGGGGGGAGGCGTGGGGCCGGGGAGACCTCGTCGACCTCTCGCCGCCGGTTCCTGGCAGGAGCAGCACCCGAAAGCGGCGCTTCCTGGCAGCCGCCGGCGCCGCCGCCGTTGACTAATGCGGGTGCCGGGGCGCGGGGCTGACTCAAAGCGCCGAATTCCCAGGGCCCCCCCCCGGCCGGCGCCGCCGCGGGGGTCCCCGGTGCCCGGCCGCCAGCGCCGGATGCGAGGGCGGCCGCCGGGCCCCAAAACTGGGGCGGGTGGAAAAAGCCGACGAGGCAGATTCGGCCCCCGGGGAGGAAGAGGTGTGCGGGCGTGTGCACGCGTGTGCGCGCGTGTGCGAGCGTGTGCGAGCGTGAAGGAGCGGCTGCGTGGCAGGCACAGGCGTGCGCAAGGGTGCGAGGGCGCCCGGGAGCGTGTGCGAGCCTCGGCGGACGCATGCTGGCCCGTGCGAGCAGCCGCGAGCGTGCGAGAGCGGGCGCAGGCGCCCACGGGCGTGCGTGAACGTGTGCAAGCACACGGGAGTGGGCGCGAGCGTGGCCGAGCGTGCGGCAGCGTGGGCGAGCGTTTGCAGCTTTGCACAACCCTTTGCAAACGTGCACAAGCGCGCGGGCGAACGTGTGCCCGAGTGCGTGCGTGTGACTGAGGGCACGTGCGTGTGCCCACGCGTGCCCAGGCGTGCATCAGCCCCCCAAAAACCTCCCTGCGCTTGAACGTCTGCATGCAGGCGTGTGCAAGGGTGCCCGTACATGCGTGCAGGTGTGCAAGCGTGTGCGAGCAGGCAGGAGGGGCTCAGGCGTGCCCGAGTGTGCACAGGCGTGTGCTGGGGTGCGTGGATGTGCCTGTGTGCGTGCACAGGCGTGTGCAGGGCAGAGGGTGACAAGCTGGTGGCGGGGAGGGACGGGAGCCGTCGGGGTGGGAGGGGGCTCCTGGGGGCTCTGGGGCAGCCCAGGGGGTTGGGGGTCCCCCACCCCGGTGTCCCCCAGCTCTGCCATCTTTGCTCTGGTGTCCCCCCAGGCTCAGCTGTCCCCCGGCTCTGCTCCCCCCACCCCGGTGTCCCCCCCGTGGCTGCATGCCCAGGGTCCCCTGCCCACCCGGAGGGTGCAGCAGGGCCGTGCCGGGGCCATGCCAGGGCCACGCTGGGCCGTGCTGGTGCTGTGCTGAGCCGTGCTGGTGCTGTGCCGGTGCTGTGCCGGTGCCGTGCCAGTGCCGTGCCAGTGCTGTGCTGAGCCGTGCCGGTGCTGTGCCGGTGCCGTGCCAGTGCCGTGCTGAGCCGTGCCGGTGCTGTGCCGGTGCCGTGCCGGTGCCGTGCTGAGCCGTGCCAGTGCTGTGCCGGTGCCGTGCTGGGCCATGGCGGTGCCGTGGCGGTGCCGTGCTGGGCCGTGGCGGTGCTGTGCCGGTGCCGTGCCAGTGCTGTGCTGGTGCTGTGCCGGTGCCGTGCCAGTGCTGTGCCGGTGCCGTGCTGGGCCATGGCGGTGCCGTGGCGGTGCTGTGCCGGTGCCGTGCCAGTGCTGTGCCGGTGCTGTGCCGGTGCCGTGCCGGTGCCGTGCTGGGCCGTGGCGGCGGGCGCCTTCCTGCAAGGTGGGGCCGCGTCCCAGTTGCGGCTTCGCCGGTGCTCGCTGCTGCTGCGGTTTCGGCAGCCCCCGGCGTCCGGCAGGACCCACCCTGTGCCGGGGCCGTGGGGGGACGCCCGGGGGGCACCCATGGGCTGGGGGGGGGCGGCAGCGGAGCCCACGGGGTGGCGTGGGGGCCCGTGGGTGCCACGGGAACACGCGAGGGACACGTGAGCCCATTGGGACCAGGCGAGTTCGCGGGGGCACGGGACCCCACGCGTGTGTCCGTAGGCACCAGTGCCCACAGGGGACACACAGACCCCGGGGGCCCCTTGAGAACGGGGGTGGAGGAGGAGACGTGGTCCCCCGGGGCCCTTGGGAGCCCGGGGGGGGGACACGGGAGCAGCCCGTGGGGCGGCGGGTGAGCCCCCGGGAGACGTGAACCTACGAGGGGACATGTGAGCCCACGGCGGCCACGTGAGCCCGTGTGCTGACACGTGAACCTGTTAGGGACACATGAGGGACACGCAGTCCCACGCGGGGCACGGGGGTGGGCCGGGGATTCTGTGAGCCCACGGGGGACACGGGAGCCCGTGGGGAGCCTGGGAGTCCCCGAGGGGCAGCGGAGCCCATGGGGGACACGCGAGCCCAGGGAGAGCGTGCGAGGACACGGGTGACACACGTGGTCCCACGGGCGCCACGTCAGCCCGGAGGGGCCGTGAGCTCCTCGGGGGGGTTTGGGGAGACCCTCGGTGTGGGCACCCACACCGTCCCCCTCCCGCCCGCAGCCCACATCGAGGTGATCCCCTGCAAGATCTGCGGGGACAAATCCTCAGGGATCCACTACGGCGTCATCACCTGCGAGGGCTGCAAGGTGAGTGGGTGGGGGGGTGGGGGGTGTTGGGGGTACCAGAGGGTGCCAAAGTGTACCAGGGGGTACCAGGGGGTGCTGTGAGGGTGTTGGGGTGTGCCAGGAGGGTGCCGGGGGGTGCTGGGGGGTGCTGCAGGGTGCCAGGGGGTGCTGGAGGGTGCTGGTGGGTGCCAGACGGTGTCAGGGGGTGCTGGGGGGTGCCAGGGGGTGCCGGGGGGAGCGGGGGGTGCTGGGGGGAGCCGGGGGGTGCCAGGGGTAGCTGGGGAGAGCCGGGGGGTGCCGGGGGGTGCCGGGGGGAGCCGGGAGGTGCCAGGGGGTGCCGGGGGGAGCCGGGGGGTGCCGGGGGGTGCCGGGGGGAGCCGGCCCGGCGCTGACCCCCGGCGCAGGGCTTTTTCCGGCGCAGCCAGCAGAGCAGCCTGAGCTACGCCTGCAGCCGCCAGCAGAACTGCCCCATCGACCGGGCCAGCCGCAACCGCTGCCAGCACTGCCGCCTGCAGAAGTGCCTGCGCCTCGGCATGTCCCGCGACGGTGGGTGCACCCCCCCACCCCGCGTCCCCCTCCCCCGTGGGGGCTGCAGGTGCCCCGGGGCCGTGGGACATCGCCGGGAGGAAGCGGAGGGGCCGTGGGTGCGCCCGGAGGAAGCGGGGCGGTGAGGGCCGCCGCGGCACGCGTGTGGGGCCGGAAAGCCCCGGTGCCACGGCTATGTAGGTCGCGGGGAACCGGTGCCTGCACACGCATGGGGACACACGTGTGACACGCGTGTCCCACAGCGTCGCCGCCTCTTTCCTCCCCCCCACCCCCCAGCCGTCAAGTTTGGCCGCATGTCCAAGAAGCAGCGGGACCGGCTGCACGCCGAGGTGCAGCAGCAGCTGGAGCAGCGGGAGCGGGAGCGGGTGGCCGAGGGGGCACCCCCCGGCCCCCTGGGGCTGGTGGGGTGCCGGGGCCACCCACTGACCCCCACCGGCACCCGCCACGGCGGGACGGAGGGCAGGGCTGCTCCCACGGTGAAGGTGGAGCCGGGGCGGCTGGAGGGGGCCAAGCGGGGCCCGGACGGGGACGGGGACGGCCCCGGCTTCTACCCCCACCCTGATGCCGGCGGCCTCCTGGAGTCACCCACGTCCGCCGGCGTGGAGATCGGTGAGTCACTGGGTGCCATGTGCCCGCGGGGACTGGGGTCTGTCACCCATGGGTGCTCAGTGGTGGTGGGACCTGGCTCCACCACCCATGGGTGCCCAAAGGTGGCAAGACCTGGCTCCATCACCCATGGGTGCTGGTGGGACCTGGCTCCACCACCCATGGGTGCTCAATGATGGCAGGACCTGGCTCCATCACCCATGGGTGCTGGTGGGACCTGGCTCCACCACCCATGGGTGCTGGATGGTGGTGGGACATGGTTCCATCACCCATGGGTGCTCAGTGGTGGTGGGACCTGGCTCCACCACCCATGGGTGCTCAGTGATGGCAGGACCTGGCTCCATCACCCATGGGTGCTGGTGGGACCTGGCTCTATCACCCATGGGTGCTGGATGGTGGTGGGACCTGGCTCCACCACCCATGGGTGCTCAGTGATGGCGGGACCTGGATCCACCACCCATGGGTGCTGGATGGTGGCAGGACCTTGCCCATCAGGGACAGGGGCAAGTGCTGCCTGCCCTGTCCCCGTCCCCATCCCCGTCCCCCACCCCCGTGTCCCCGCGTCCCCGTGTCCCCGCAGAGCACCTCACCCAGAACGTCCTCAAGTCCTACCGGGAGACCTGCCAGCTCCGCGCCGAGGACCTGCAGCTCCGGCGCTGGGACACCTTCTCCCGCGAGGAGGTCTGCGCCTACCAGAGGAAGGTGAGGCCACCGGGGTGGGGACAGGGGAGGGGACGCGAGGGTCCCCAGGGGACGCCGGGTGCTCCAGCGCGGAGCGGTGGGGCCGGTGGGGCGGGGGGTGACGGCCGGTCCCGCAGCCGATGGAGGAGATGTGGCAGCGCTGCGCCGGGCGCATCACCGAGGCCATCCAGTATGTGGTGGAGTTCGCCAAGCGCCTGCGCGGCTTCATGGACCTCTGCCAGAACGACCAGATCGTCCTCCTCAAAGCGGGTACGGGGCCACCGCGTCCCCTGTCCCCGGCCCCACGGGCCCTGCTGCCCCCGGCCCCCCAGCCCCGGTGTCCCCAGGTGAGGGGACTGGTCCCACCAGGGAGGTGACAGTCCCTGGAGGGTGCCGTGGCCCCATGGGGGTGGGGGTCCCATGGGTCCCACCGGGGAGGTGACAGCCCCCAAGGGCCACCCCGACCCCACCAGTAAGGTGACAATCTCATGGGTCCCACCGGGGAGGTGACAGCCCCCAGGGCTGGTGTCGCGGGGGCACCCACCCGACCCCGAGCGGCAGCACCGTGGGGCCCCGTGTCCCCGGTGCCACCGTCCCCGTCCCCGTCCCGCTGCCGGGCGGCGGCAGGAGCCATGGAGGTGGTGCTGGTGCGCATGTGTCGAGCCTTCAACGCCGACAACCGGACCGTCTTCTTCGAGGGCAAGTACGCCGGCGCCGAGCTCTTCCGATCCCTGGGTAGGGCTGGGGACATGAGGGGACGCGGGGGGACACGGGGGGACACGGGGGGACGCAGGGGGACACAGGGGGACACACAGTGACGATGTATCCCCCCAGGCTGCCACGAGCTCATCAGCTCCATCTTCGACTTCGCCCAGAGCCTCTGCGCTCTGCACTTCTCGGAGAGCGAGGTGGCCCTCTTCAGCGCCCTTGTCCTCGTCAACGCCAGTGAGGGACCCCCGGGTCACCCCCTGCCTCAGTTCCCCCCCCCCCCCCCCCCCCGCCCCATAGGAACCCAAACAAGGATTTGCCCAAACCCCCCTGGTTTTGTCCTAAAGCGGGTGCTGGCCTTGGGTGTCCTGAGCCGTTCCCACCCCCCGTGCCCCTCCTGTCCCGCCCTCAGCCCCAGCGGGTCCCTGTCCCCGTTCCTGTCCCTGTCCTGTTGTGGTCCCCACCCTGTCCCCATCCTCTTCCCATCCTGCCGTGGTCCCACCTCTCCCATCCTCATCCCGTCCCTGTCCCCAGCCCTATCTCATCTCCATCCCAGCCCTGTCCCTGTCCCCATCCCACCCCAGTCCCCATCCCATCCCTGTCCCTGTCCCTGTCCCCATCCCAGTCCCCGTGCCCATCCCATCCCCGTCCCTGTCCCCGTGCCCACCCCAGTCCCCATCCCTGTCCCCATCCCACCCCAGTCCCCATCCCATCCCTGTCCCCATCCCAGTCCCCGTGCCCACCCCAGTCCCCATCCCTGTCCCCGTGCCCATCCCATCCCCGTCCCTGTCCCTGTGCCCACCCCAGTCCCCATCCCATCCCTGTCCCTGTCCCCATCCCTGTCCCTGTGCCCATCCCATCCCAGTCCCTGTTCTCTCCCCGTGCCCATCCCAGTCCCCATGCCCATCACACCCCTGTCCCTGTCCCCGTGCCCATCCCACCCCGGTCCCCGTCCCTGTCCCCGTGCCCATCCCATCCCCGTCCCTGTCCCCGTGCCCATCCCACCCCGGTCCCTGTCCCCATCCCTGTCCCCGTGCCCATCCCAGCCCGGTCCCCACGCCGTCCCCACGCCGCCCCGCCGTGTCCCCGTCCCCAGACCGCCCGTGGCTGCAGGACCAGGCCAAGGTGGCTCGGCTGCAGGGACACCTGGACGTCGCCTTCCGCGTGCTGCTGCGCCGGACCCGCCGCGAGGGGCTGCTGGCCAGGGTGCGGCACGGGGGGGCTGCCGTGGCGCGGGGTCCCCCCGCGTGACGGGTGTGTGTCCCTGTGTGAAGGGTGCGTGTCACCACACGTGATGTGTGTGTGTCCCTGTGTGACTGCGTGATGGGTGCGTGTCCCCTGTGTGATGGGTGCGTGTCCCCCCGCATGTCGGACACGTGTCCCCCCGTGTGATAGGCGCGTGTCCCCGTGTGATGTGTGCGTGTCCCCGTGGGCACCGTGTTGGGTGCGTGTCCCCCCTCTCTGTGTGAGGCATATGTCCCCCCCATGACAGATGCGTGTCCCCACTGTGTGATGGGTGCGTGTCCCCCCCCGTCTTGGGTGCGTGTTCCCTCACGCGATGGGTGCGTGTCCCCGTGTGACGGGTGTGTGTGACCCCACGTGTCAGTCACGTGTCCCCGCGTGACGGGCGCGTGTCCCCGTGGGCAGCTGCCGCCGCCCGGGCGCCTGCGCGCGCTGTGCTCGCAGCACGTGGAGCAGCTCCAGGCCTTCCGCCGCCTGCACCCCGGGGTGCTGCACGCCGCCTTCCCCCCGCTCTACCGCGAGCTCTTCGCCTCCGAGCCCGAGACCCCCGGCAGCGCCCGCTGAGCCCCCCGACACCCCACGGCTCGCCCGGCCCCCCCCGCCTGCTGCCTGCCCACGGCCAGGAGTGCCGGCACCCCGGGGTGCTCCCTCGGCCGGGGGCACCCGCACCCGGTGAAGGACCGTCACCCGGCTGTGCTCTGTCACCCGGCGATGCTCTGTCACCCGGCGATGGTCCGTCGCCCGAGGAGGATCCGTCACCCAACAACGCCCCGTCACTCAGCAGGGTTTTGTCACCCGGCGGGGCTCCGTCACCCCGAGGAGCTTTGTCACGACAGTCTGTCACCCACCGATGCTCCGTCACCCGGCGGGGCTCTGTCACCCGAGGGTGCCCCCACCCCCCCGCAGAGCAGTCTGGGGTCCCCGGGGCCGCGGTGGGTGCTCCACGCGGGACAGGCACACGCCCACCCCCTCCCCGGGGCTCTCCCAGGGCCACCGGCTCCCGTGTGTGCAGACACGCGTGGGCTCCCCCCCCGGGTGGCCCGGCTGGGTGACGGGGGGGCGAGCGCCGGGGGGTGCCGGGCCGGGGCCGCGGCTGTACCGAATTGGAATAAAGGCATTTTTGGGACACGGCGCGTCCGTGGGCTCCGTCACGCGGGGAACGGGGTGACACGGCGCGAGACCCCGCGCCGGCGCCGCGCGGGGCATTGTGGGACGGCGCAGAGCCTCCCGCTCTACGGGACCCGCCGCCCGTCACTCACAGCTCGGGGCGGGCCCGGGCGCCACTCCCTCTCGCCGACTGGCTCCAGCCGGCTGCCTCGCGGCGCGGATTGGCCGCTTTATTCCCAGGCAGGCGCCGTGTCCCTCCCCCTTCCTGTGGGAAGCCGTCCCGGGGATTGGCCACAGCTCCCTCCGGGCGGGGATTGGCGGGGCGGGGAGGAGCGGCGCTGCGATTGGAGCGCGGCGGCGGGGGGGGGGCGGGGCTAGCGGCGGCCGGGCGCGTGGGGCGGCGGTGGCGCGAAGCGGAGCCGGTACCGGGATGGGCGGGCGCGGCCGGGGTCCCCTCCCCCCTCACACCGGCCCGGCTGCCGACGGGCTCCCGGTAAAACCTCTCCTTCCCCAGGCCGCGGGGGGGACGATGGCGGAGCGGGGCTGCTGGAGCGGCCTGACGGCGCTGCAGAAAGCTGCGGTGGTGCTGGGCGTCCCGGCTGGCGCCGCCGTCTGCTTCGTCCTGTACCGCAGGTACCGGGAGAGCCGAGGTGGGTGTCGCAGCCCCGGCGCCGTCCCCCGGCTGCAGCGGTCAGCTGCGCCCCCCTCACCTGCCCTCACCTTCCCCAAGGGCGCTGAGGTGCTCGGGGGCGCCCCGAGCTGCCGTGGGCCCCTCGCGGGGGACGGGGAGGCTCTGGGAGTGGCTTTGCCCGCCCTGAATTTCCCTCGTGCTGTTGATACCCCTCCCGGGGGGCTTGGCTCGCCCTGCGCGGATGGACGCGGCTGTGGGGACCCGGCGCTGCCGCTTTGCCCTCAGAGGAGCGGCTGACCTCTGTGGGAGACGAGGAGCTGGAAATTGAGATGCGAGTCCCCCGGGCGGCCGTGAAATCCATCATCGGCCGGAAGGGAGCCACCATCAGAAAGGTTTGTGATGCTGGAGGCTGCACCTCTCATGGGGGTAACGAGGGAAGGACGAGTTTACTGGGAACCCCGGTAAACAGCAGCCGGGGCTTGGTCCCCCCCTGCCCCGCAGCTGAGCCAAGAGACGGGGGCTCGCATCGGGGTGGAGGGCGAGGATGAGGCCGAGGAGACGACGCTGCTGATCTCGGGCTCCCCCAGCCAAGTCTGCCGGGCGAAAGCCGCCGTCCACCAGATCATGACGGAGAGCACGCTGGTGTCGGAGCAGCTCTGCGTGCCCCAGAGAGCCGTGGGCAGGATTATCGGTACGGCCGCCCGCCCCGGGGAGGCAGGGGACAGCGGGAGCTGTGGTGGATTTACCCGCTCAGTGCCCGTGGTGGCACGAGCGCAGGGAGCAGCCCCGCTTCCCTGCGGGAGGGAGCCTGGCCCCAGCTCCGCGGCCGCTCTGCCGCAGTTTCCCGGGGCTCTCCCTTGTCTGCCGCAGGCCGGGGCGGCGAGACTGTGCGGGGCATCTGCCGCAGCTCGGGGGCCAAAGTGCTCTGCGAGCGCGAGGCTGACGCCGGGCTGTCCCCGGTCAGGGTCATCCAGCTCTCGGGGACGCGGAAGGAGGTGGCAGCCGCCAAGGTGAGCGGGAGGCGGAGGGGCTGGGGGATGCCTCGGCCCCCCAACCACATCGCTCTCCTTGGTTTTGTGGGTTTTTTTCCCCCCCATTCCCAAAGAAACTCATCACGGAGAAGCTGATGGAAGACGATGCTTTCCGGAAGGAGCTGGCGCGGTCGACGGCGCTGCGGTGCCTGCGCAAGCAGCCCCTGGGCAGCCGGCGGGAGCCGGAGCCGCTCCCCAGCGGGACGCCGGAGCACGGGGAGGAGGACGGCGGCTCGTCCTGGGGTGAAGGCTCACTCCCGGGCCTGGCTCCCTCCGGGGAGGAGCTGGAGGACAAGGAGCCGGCCGACGCAGCAGTGCTGAAATTCGAGGGTAAGAGAAGCGTTCGCGTTGTCCCCGGGGCGTGTCGGGATAAACGGTGCTGGGGGGTTGGACGCGCTCAGGTCCCCCCGAGGCCGGGCAGGGTCTGCGGGGCGGCTTTGGCTCTCGGGGGCTCTCACCGGGACTCCCCTGTAGTTCCCAGCCCCGATTTCAGCTTCCCCCCCGACGAGCCCCTCGAGGTTTACGTCTCGGCCGCGGAAAACCCCAACCACTTCTGGATCCAGCTCGTCGGCCAGCGCAGCCTGCAGCTGGACAAGCTGACGGCAGAGATGGGCCAGTACTACCGGGGCAGCGGGTGTGCGGTGAGCCCCCAGACTGGTGTCCCCCCCCCCCCCAGCACGGGTCCCCCTGCCCCTCCCGGGGGTGTCACCCACCCTGTCCCCCCCCAGGCTGAGCTCCCGGCCGCCCAGCCCGGGGCCATCGTGGCCGCTCCCTACACGGACGGCAGCGACTGGTACCGCGCCCGTGTCCTGGGCACGCTGCCCAACGGCAACTTGGACCTTTACTACGTGGATTTTGGGGACAACGGCGAGGCCCCCCCTGAGGCGCTGCGAGCCCTGCGGTGAGCCCAGGGAGGGGGGGACATGGGGACAAGCTGGGGGGGGGCCGTGGCCTCACGCCATCCCTCTCCGCCTGCCAGGAGCGACTTCCTGAGCCTGCCCTTCCAGGCCCTGGAGTGCAGCCTGGCCGGCATCGGGCCCGCGGGTGAGCCCCTCCCTAACCCCCCCCTCCCCAAATTTGTGCCCCCCCCCCCGCCCCAGTGTCCCCTCACCCCCGTGTCCCCCCCCCAGAGCCGCAGGGCTGGGCGGAGGTGGCGCTGGACGCCTTTGACCAGCTGACGCACTGCGCGGCCTGGAAACCGCTGCTGGCCAAAATCGCCAGTTACGGCCCCTCGGGGCTCGGCCCCCGCCCCGAGGTGCGGCTCTACGCCACGCACGGCGGCCAGGTGAGCCCCGGTAACCCCCGGTACCCCCCCGGTACCCCCGCCCCGTGCCCCCCCGGTGCTGCCACGGCTCCTTTCCCCACAGACCCTGGACGTCGGCGCGGAGCTGGTGCGCCTGGGCCACGCTGTGCCCCAGCCCCACGGCGGCGAGGAGGAGGAAGAGGAGGAGGAGGAGGAAGGGGCCGGTGACGGGCTGGCTGCGGCCCGCAGCCCGGTGAGCGCACGGTTTGTCCTCTCGCCCCACCCCTGCGGCACCGGGCCCCTGGCACCATTAACCGGCTCTTCCCGGCGCAGGAGCCCCCTGAGAACCCTGGCGAGACCCCCCCGGCCTTGGGCAGCGCCCGCCTCCCCGGTGGGTACCGGCACTGTGCCCCGGTGCCCCCCCGGTGCCCCCCTCACCCCCCGCTCTGCACAGATGCCACCGGCGCTGAGGACGGCGGCGGGACAGCGAGCAGCTCCTGGTGACACCGGCCGCACCAGCCCGGGGGAGGCGGGAGGGTCCCGGCCCCCGTTACTGGCAGCGGCCCCGGGGAGCTCCCGGTTACCGGCTCCCTCGCTCTGCGCTGGGATTGTTTCCGCCCGGTTTGGCAGCGAGTGGAACGAACCGGTTTTGGGTCCTGATTCAATAAAATGGAACGTTTTGGAGCTCCCTGCCGCCGACCGGGACCGGGGCGAGGGGAAAGAACCGGGACCGAGGGGAAGAACTGGGCGCGGGTGGGAAGGGCAGGACCGGGACCGGGTGGGAGGGGAAGGACCGGAGGAGAACCGGACCCGGGGGCAGCCCCCGGTTTGGAGGGGGCCTGAGGGTGCCCCGTTTCGGGGGGACACGGGAGCTGCCATATTGGGGGGGGGGGGAAGGGCAGGGATACCGGGGCGCTGTTGGGGGCACCGGGCGCCCAACCGGGAGCGTTGGGCACAGGCGCGCGGCGGGCAGCCCCCGGCGGGGTCCTCGGGCGCCGGCCCCGCTGGGACGCTACTGCGCAGGCGCGGCGGCGGGGTCCTGGGGAGCAGGCGCAGCGACGGGCAGCCCCGCGGGGTCCTCGGGCCGGCACCGGGAGCGGGACGGGGGCGGCCATGTTGGGCCGGGGGGCGGCGGGGGGCTGCGGCCTGGTGCTGCGGGCGGCCAGCCGGGCCCTGAGCCTCAGCCACGGCCGGGTGAGGGCCGCGGGGGGCTGCCGGGGCTCCCGGGGTGCCCGCCTGCACCTCTGGGCCGGGGGGGTGGGGGGCGGAGGTGTCCGTGAGGGGAGCGGGGGGGGTGCAGGGGGCCTGCATAGGGGCGGGGGGTCCCCAGGCGGGCAGCCAGCTCGTCCCCCGCGGGAGAGGCGGGGGGGGTGGGGGGGAGCGAGCCCCACAACCGGCCGGGGGGCCGGGACTCACCCTCCCTCCTGCGCCAGGGCACCGTGGTGGTGGAGCGGTGGTGGAAGGTCCCGCTCAGCAAAGAGGGGCGGCAGCCGCGCCTGCACCCCCGCCGGCACCGTGTCTACCGGCTGCTGGAGGACACCAAGCACCTGCCCAAGACGGACCTGGAGCTGATCCTCACCCAGTCGGTGGACAGTACGTCCCTTCCCCGCGGCCGCTCCCGCCTCAGCCGGTGTCTGCCCTGTTCTGCCTCCCCCTGCGCCGGGGAGAGGCAGGGGTCCCCCCGGCTGGCCCCGTGTCCAGCGATCCGCTGGCAGCAGGGATCCACCCCTCAGACCCTGCGATGGTTTAGGGTTGCAGAGCCCTGAAACCAATAATTCTGTGGCATTTCGGGTCTCTTGTTTTTTTTTTTTTTAACTTCCTTCAGATGGAATGTCAAAGCTGGCGCTTCTCCGGCACGCGCCTCACTAACGTCCCCTCCTTGCAGATTTGGGGAACCGGGGGGACTTGGTCAGCGTGAAGAAATCCCTGGGTCGTAACAAGCTCCTGCCACAGGGGTTGGCTGTCTACGCCTCGCCGGAGAACAAGAAGATGTTTGAGGAGGAGAAGAAGGTGAGTTGGCACGAAGGGGCTGCTCCCGGGGTGTTTTTAGCTTTGAAATCAGGAGAACTTAAGGAGCAGAGAGTTTGCTTTCAAAGGGCCGGTTGCTCTTTGGGCTCATCCCTGCCTCCCTCCGCCCGCGCATTTGTGATTTCGTGGGGTGAGATGTGCCAATTGCCCTAGAAATACCGTCCCACCACGAGCCCCACTCGTTGATAAATCCCTCTGCAGCGTTTACGATGACGGGAGAGCCTTCCTCTCGCTTATTCTCCTCCATCCTCTTCCCCTTGCAGCTGCGCCAAGAGGGGAAACTGGAGGTGATGCAGACCTGGAGCGGGGAGAGGGTGAGTGGGGGGGCACCGGCGAGTCTGGAGTTGTTCTGGAGAAATTCCCGAGTCCTGGGAAGAGCTCAAAGCTTCAGCCGGAGTGTCGGGAGCCCTCTGCCCCCAGCTGCGGCTCGAGCAGGGGCTGCCTGCGCATGGGTGGGGGGCCGGGGCTCCCTGGGACCTTGCTGACCCCCGCACTCTCCCCGCCACCTTCCTCCCGCCTTTACAGACCATCAAGTTCCTCAAGGGCTGCCGCCTCGAGGTGGGCATGAAAAACAACATCAAGTGGGAGCTGAACAACGAAATCGTGGCTCGTCACTTCTTCAAAAACGTGAGCGGTGCTCCCCGGCGTTGCCGGGGCTGGGGGGGGTCCCTGCGCGTGAGCAGAGCCGCTTGGGGGGGGCCCAAATCCCGAGGGGGGGATGTTGCTGAGGGGGTTGGAGGAGCCAGCGGCGCGTTCGGGGCTCGGTGGGGCACGTGCTGAGCGCGGCTCAGCAGAGGGTTTAAAACCTTAAAGGGATTAAGAAGGGAAGATGGTAAATCAGGGGATGAGCCCATGGCACGCGCTGGGGGCCGGGCAGTTCTGCCCTGGCTGTTCTGGGGGGCCCAGGAAGGGGCTGGGGAGGCGGGGGGGGGGCTCGCTGCCCCCCCAACTGTCCCTCCCGGGGCCTCGTGGTGTTTCTCAGCTGCGGGTCTTCGTGCCCCCCCACGCGCTGAAGCTGCCCGCCGAGCCCATCACCAGGTGGGGCGAGTACTGGTGCGACGTGACGGTGAGCCACTGCCCGGGGCCCTGACACCGCGGCCCCCCCCCTTCTCCCCACGACCCCTCCCCACGTCCCACGGGGCTCCCACGCCAGCTCCCCAGCCCAGTGCCCCCACCAGAGAAACCCTGAGCCGAGCTGGCGGTGCCTGTCCTCCAGCACAGGGAGGGCTGCGAGGAGCAGAAATGCTTTATTTTTTTAAAAAAAAAAAAAGCCAACGCCAAAAACACATAAAAAAAAAAAAAAACACCACCAAACCATGAGCAAGAGCCCCCCCCACCCCGCGACCTAGTTAGAGGAGCGCGGCTCCTCGCCCGCCGCCATTCGCCTTTTGTCCTTCCCGGCGCGGGGCCGGCTCCCAGCCCGTGTCACTGCCGCCTCGGCTCCCGCTTCCTTCGCTGTGCCCGGCCCTGGGCGCGCGCAGGGAGGGGAGGGGGCTCGTCCCATGTCCGTCCGTCCATCCGTCCCCCCGCGCTCGGATCCCACTGGGATTTCGGGATGGAGCTCCCCTGGGCCCGGGTCGGGGAGAGAAGCGAGAGCGGCCGCAAGCCGGAGCGCAGCAACGGCCCCCCGCCCCCGCCAGGGGGTCACGGGGTGCTGCTGAGGGGGTGGCAGGGGGGGTCCCCCTCTCCTGACACCCCCCCCCCCCCCCCCCGGTGCCGCAGGTGAACGGGCTGGAGACCGTCCGGGTGCCCATGGACGTGGTGAACTTCCTGCGCCCCAAAACCAAACGCTACAAGCACTGGCTGGCCCAGCAGCAGGCCCGGCTGGCGGCACAGAGGGAGACGCTGCTCTGAGCCGGGGGGGCCCCCCAGGATCCCCCCAGTGTGCCCGGCACCGGCTTGGTACCGGCAGGCACTGGGGGGAATGGCGGGGGGGTTCCCCTGGCATGGATGGAGGGGGGTCCCCTGGGGCTGAGCTGTTTCTGTACCCACTAAAGAGCTGGGGGGGGGGGGGGGGGGGGCCATGCGGGAGGGTTCCTGTACCCCCCCCGGCCCCCCCCCCCCCCCCCCGAGCTCTGGGTGACGCCACAGCAGCACCCAGTGTGGGGTGTCACCGCCTGGGATTGGGGTGAGACCCCCCCCCCCCCTCAGGGTGCCGACCCCCCCAGCTCCTCCTGGATCCGCCGCGGCAGCTCCGGCTGCGAGAAGTACCCTGGGGGGGGGGGGGGGGGGCGGGGGGTGAGTGGGCGGCTGGGACCCCCCCCCCCACACCCCCCAGCCATGGGGACCCCCCAGCCCCCCCTCACCTGCAGCGAACTCCGGGATGTTGGTCGGTTGATGGAGCAGCAGCTCCCTGGAAGATGGGGGGGGCACAGGGGTTTGGGGGGGAAAGGGGGTGTTTTGATGTGCTTTCCCACGATGGAAAATGGGTGTTTTTATCTTCTGCTAATTGAGGTGTTTTTGTGAAATTCCTCGGGGGGGGGGGGGGGTGGGGTGGGTGGGATGGGGGAATGTGTCTCACCTGAGGAACCCCCGCAGCAGCAGCCGGACCCCCGGGTGGGCCCGCAGGTACCTCTCGCTGCTCAGGCGGAGCGTGGGCTGGGAACACAGACACACGACACTGTCACCAGTGGGCTGGCCCACGCAGGACCTCACCCCAACAACAACCACCCCCCCACACCCCCCCCGAGCACTGTGGGGTGCCGCAGCCGCACTGCCACGGGGGGGGGGGTCACCACACCCACCTGCCCTGTGTCCCCCCCGCGTGTGCCCGTGTCCCCACGGGGTGTGTGGGTGCGTGTGCCCCCACCCCCCCACCCCGGCACCTCATGGGGACGCGGCGGCGGTTGCGGCGACGCCATCTTGGCTGCGCCCGTTGCAGCCCGTCGCCATGGCAACGGCGGGGGGGGGGGGGTGTGTGTGAGACCCGGCCGTGGGGGGGGTGGGTAGGGGGGGTGACACGGGGGGGTCCCCGCTGTGCAGCGTGTCCGTGGGTCCGTGCCCCGGCGGCTCCTGGCGCTCAGCACCGGGGACAGCGGCGCCGGGCGGCAGCGGGGGGGGGGGGGGGCGGGATACACGGGACACAGGGCCACGCGGGGACGGGCACACGCACGGACAGACGGACACACACACGCTCCCCTGCGTGTACACACGGACACGCGTGCGCACACAACAGCCCTTCTGCACACGCGTGAGCGCGGCCGCCGTGCGCACACACACACACGCACACACCCCCCCCCCCCCCCCCCCCCGTGTTTGTGACGCCCCCACGGCCGCTCCCGGTGCCGGTTCCCGGTGCCGGTTCCCCCCGGTTCCCGGTGCCGCTCTGACATCAGCGCCGGGCGGGGCGGGGCGGGGCGGCCGCAACCGGGGAAGAAAAGCGGCGAAGCGGGGTCGGGCCGTGCCGGTGCCGGTGCCGGTTACCGGGGCGCAGCGGGCGCGGGGCTCGGGGAGCGCGGCCGCCATGGGCCGGGCCGGGCGCTGAGCCCCCCCCCCCCCCCCCCGGTACCGAGCCCCCTCCCCCGGGGGCAGCGGGGCGGCGAGCGGGCGGTACCGGCGGGCCGGGCGCTGACGGCAGCCGCCGGGATTCGGGGACCGTCGCACGGGAGGCCCCTTCGGGAAACCGCCGGGACCTACCGGGAGCGCCGCCCCCCGGGCAGAGCTGCCCCCGCCCCGCCGCGCCCCGTCCCCGGAGCCGAGCCGAGCCCCGGGGCCGCCTCGTCCTTTGTGTGCGCCGCGACCGGGCCGGCACCGGGCACCGGGCACCGGCAGCCGCAACCGGCAGCCGAGCCCGGGCGGTGGGAGCGGCTCCGGCAGCGCTACCGGGAGCCGCACCGAGCACCGGGAGCGGCCCCGGGGCCCGGCCCCCCCCCCCGGCGGCCCCATGAAGGAGCCCGACGCCATCAAACTCTTCGTGGGGCAGATCCCGCGGCACCTGGAGGAGAAGGACCTGAAACCGATCTTCGAGCAGTTCGGGAAGATCTACGAGCTCACCGTCATCAAGGACAAGTACACCGGCATGCACAAAGGTACCGGCACCGGCACCGGGCGGCGGCAGCGCAGCCCTGGGGAACGGGGAGCGGGAGCTGGGGACGGCCGCAGGCCCCGGGAACGGCCCCACCGGGCACGGCCCCGGGCGCGGCCCCACGGACAGCCCCGAGCACCGGGCACCGGGCACAGCCCCCGGCCCCACGGACAGCCCCGAGCACCGGGCGCGGCCCCACGGACAGCCCCGGGCACCGGGCACAGCCCGCGGCCCCACGGACAGCACCGGGCACAGCCCCACATACGGCCCCTGATAGCGGGCACAGCCCCACGGGCAGCCGGAGGCCCACCCACGGCTCAACCCACAGCCGCAGGCCCCACGCGCAGCCCCACGCACGGCTCCGGCCCGGGTGCTGGCGCAGCCCCGGGCACTGGGTACAACCCACGGCGGGTGGCGGGGTGCCGGGGGCGCGCCCGTGGGCGCTGGGGGGAAGCCACGCGGGTGCGGGTGTTGGGGGGTGGGGTGTTGCGTCCAGGGGTCGCGTGGGTGCGGGGTGTTGCACGGCCGCCCGTGGGTGTTTGCGCGGGTGCGGGGGGCGGCGGTGCCGGCGCAGGGTGTTGTGTGGGTGGGTGTTTGCGGTGCTGGGTGACAGGTGTGGGCTGGGGGGGGGGGGGGGGGGTGTCACGGGTGGGGGGTGTGCGGCGGCGGTGGCAGGGCTGTGCTGCCCACGGGGGGGGCTGTCCAAGGCAGGGACCCCCCCCCGGTGCCTGACCCCCACCCCCGGCACAGGTGGGGGGGACCCTGGAGCCCCCCGGGACAGGCGGGGGGAGGCCAAGGCGGGTGCAGGCCCGGGGTGGGGGTGACGGGCAACCCCGACAGTGGAACTGGGGGGTCTTGGGGCTGCTACCCCACCCCCCACCCACCCCCCCCCGCGGCTGAGGCTGCCCCGGCCCTGGGGACCTCGGGGACCCCTCCCTGGCCCCCTGCCTGCGCCCGCCAAGGGTCCCTGGGGTGTCACCACCCTGAAATGGGGGGTCTGGGTGCTGTAGGGGGGGCATCGGGAGTGGGTGCTGTGGGGGGGTCTGGGTGCTACAAGGGGCTGTGGGCTGTGGGTGCTATAGGGCATCTGGGTGCTCTGTGGGTGCAGGGGCCGTGGGGGTCCTGCCCCCCCCCCCCACTGCCCCCCATTCCATTTCCCACACCCCACCCCCCCCAGGATGCGCCTTCCTGACCTACTGCGCCCGCGAGTCGGCCCTGAAGGCGCAGAGCGCCCTGCACGAGCAGAAAACCCTCCCGGGGGTGAGTGGGGACCCCCCCCACGCCGGGACCCCCCCACCAGGGACCCCTCCCACTCTGGGACCCCCCCACCCATGACACCCCCACGCTGGGACCCCCCACTCCCCGGTCCCCTGCCCTTGGGAGGACCCAGGTGTCCGGGATCCCACCTTCGGGTGGGTGGGTTGGGGGGGGCACCCCACGAACATCTGCCGGGGGGGGGGGGAAGATGGGGGGGGGGGGGGGCCACCGCGTTGCCTGGAGACGGGCGGGCGCTAACGAGGGCCTGGCGCTAACGAAGCGTTGCCAGGCGAGTGGCGGGCACTGGGCAGCTGAGCTAACAAAGCCGGGGGGGCCGGGGGGGGCGATCCAGGCGTCTGGGTGCCCCCCACCCCCCCATTACAGCTGGGGTGCTGGGGGGGGGGTTGTCCCAGCACCCAGGTGTGTGTTTTGTCCCCCCCTCCATCATGGGTGCTGGGGACCAGGGTGACTGAGGCCCCGTGGGGTGGTTTGGGGGGGGGGGGGGGTCCCAGGTGTGTGTGTGGGGGGTAGTTTGGGGGTGCCCCCCCCCCGGGCTGCGCGTGTCCCGCCAGCCCCGGGGGAGATTTGGCTTCGCCGGGATAATCCGGGATTTGGGGGCCGTAAATCCCGGGGGGGATTTGTTGGGGGGGGCAGCGGAGGGGGGGGGGATTAGGGGCGGCACCGCCCCGACCGCTGCCCCACCTCCCCGCGATGGCCGCAGGACCCCCCCGAACCACCCCCCCCCCCGGCCTTGGGGCGCAATGCCAGGGAGGTCCCGGGGAAATTTGGGGTTTTGGGTGCCTGATGCCACCCCCCAGCCCCCCCCCTCCGCCCCGGCCGGGGCTGATCCCGGCCCCGCGGAGGATTAGGGGGGATTAGTGCCCCCCCGGGGGGGCATTTCCAGCACCATCTGGCGGGGGGGGGGCACCTTCGCTTTCAGCGGGGGAAGGGGCCGCCTGGGGTCAGCTGGGGCCGAACCCGCCCCCGGCTCCCCCGGGATGGGGCGCGGCGCCCCCCGTCCCCCCCGCCCGCATCCCCCCCGTCCCCCCCCAGGGCCGGGCCCATCCACGGGGGGAGGGGCGGGGTCACAGCAGGCCTGGGGGTCCCCCCTGCCCTGGCCCCCCCCAAAATCTCCATTCCCCCCCCCCCATCCCGTCATTGTTTATAGCGAGCGCTGATGATGTCAGCGGCGTGCCGGGCAACCGGGATGGGTAAATTGGGGATGAGTAGGCGGTTGCCATGGAGCATATTCTGCCGTTGCCATGGTTCCGGGCATCTGGCGCCCTCCCCGCCCCCCCCCGGTCTCTGGGGGTTACAGGGCTGGGAGGGGGGCGGGGGTGGGTTCATCCCCCCCAAAATAACGGGGGGGGGGGTGGTGGGTGCTCGTTACCGCGTCATTGGGGTCCCTCAGGCCCCCCCCATGGCGGTTGCCGCGGCACCCGTTGCCGGGTAACGGGATGCAAGACCAGGGTTGCCATGGTGACAGGAGCATCTTTGGGGTGCGGGGAGGGGGGGGGGGCTGGGGTGTATCTGTGCACCTACCGTGGGGGGGTCCCTGCGGCGGGGTGGGGGGGGCTGTGTCCCCATCCCCCCTCTGTCCCCCCCAGATGAACCGGCCCATCCAGGTGAAGCCGGCGGACAGTGAGAGCCGAGGAGGTACCGGCACCCCGAAACCCGGCCCCCCCCCGGCCCTGTGTCCCCAACCCCGCCCCGTGCCCCCTCCATGACCCCATGGTCCCCCCATGTCCATCCCCGGCACTGGTGTCAGCCAGGCATGGGGTTCCCCCCCAGGGTGGGGTGTCCCCATCACTGTCCCCCCTCCACGTCCCCATTCCCAGGGGGGGGTGTCCCCAGCCCAGGGGGGGGGGTCCCCATTCCTGGCGGGTCCCAGCCCATCCCAACAGCCCCATATCCCTGTCCCCAGGGTCCCAGCCCATCCCAGTGTCCCCGGGTTTGGGGGTCCCTGCCCAGTCTGTGTGCGGGGGGGGTGGGGGTGTCCCCCCGCCCCGGTGTCCCCGCGCCACCCCCCCGTCCCCGCAGAGGACCGCAAGCTCTTCGTGGGGATGCTGAGCAAGCAGCAGGCGGACGAGGACGTGCGCAAGATGTTCGAGCCCTTCGGCACCATCGACGAGTGCACGGTGCTGCGCGGCCCCGATGGCACCAGCAAAGGTGGGGCGAGGGGGTGGCCCGGCCCCCGTGGGGGGGTGGGGGGTGTCCCCCCATCCCTGTCCCCGTGCTGACCCGCTGTCCCCAGGCTGCGCCTTCGTCAAGTTCCAGAGCCACGCGGAGGCCCAGGCCGCCATCGCCGCCCTCCACGGGAGCCGCACCTTGCCGGTGAGATGGGCGCCGCCAGGCACTGCACCCCCCCCCCGTCCTCACCACCTTCATCATCATCCTCATCGCCATCATCATCGCCACCCGCGTCACTGTCCCCATCATCATTATCCCTGTCATCACCCTCATTGTCCCCATCAACACCATCATCATCATCCCCGCCATCACCCCCATCATCATCAACCTCAAC